GCTCGGCTCGGGCGACTCGGTTCGGGTCGGGCGGCTCGGTTCGGGCAGGGCTGCTCGTTCTGGCGGGGCCGTGGGTGTCGCGACGGGGTGCTAAGGGGCGGGCGCACGGGTCGACGGGGCCAGCTGGGGGCCGTAAAGGGGCGGCGCTTGAGGTCGACGGGGCCAGTGGGGCCGCTAAGGGGCAGGCGCACGTGGTCGACGAGGCCAGCGGGGCCGCTAAGGGGCGGGCGCACGGGTGTACGGGGCCAGCGGGGCCGCTAAGGGGCGGGCGCACGGGTCGACGGGGCCAGCGGGGCCGCTAAGGGGCGGGCGCACGGGTGTACGAGGCCAGCGGGGCCGCTAAGGGGCTGGCGCACGGGTCGACAGGGCCAGCGGGGCCGCTATGGGGCGGCGCGTGAGGTCGACGGGGCCCGCTAAGGGGTGGCGCGTAAGGTCGACGGGGCCGCTAAGGGGCGGCGCGTGATGTCGACGGGGCCAGCTAAGGGGCGGCACGTGGGGCCAACGGGGCCTCTAAGCGAGGTCGACGGGGCCGACGGGGCCTCTAAGGGGCGGCGCACGAGGGCGCACTAGGAGCAAGGCGCACGAGGGCGCTAGAAAGGACGGCGCACGAGGGCGCTCCGAGCGGAAACGGTGGTCCCTTAGGATCGGTCCTAGGTTCCTAGCCTAGGCTCGTAATACCATGTTAGAATGAGAGAAGTGATTGCACTAAGAAAGTTGGAGTACAAATAGGAAACCCTAACTTTGTGTACCCCATAATGGCTAACCCACTATAGCCTACACAATAACAACACATATAATGTTTGACAGTTTGGGCACGATGGTGGTGGTGCGGGAACAGTATGGAGGCGAGTGTTGCGAAGTGGTAGTGGGATACTGTTAGGTGTACGGTGGCAGGAATTGTCGTGTATGCGGTATGGCGTGTGAAGACTAAGGGAGAAAATGTTGGCCCTGTTTGGCAGCACTTTGGCTGCCAAGCACATCTGACCAACAACTCAACAAACCGGAACGACAAGACAGCCTCGGACCGAAGCTGGGCTAACTACAAAACAAAACCAACGTGGTTACTGTTATACCCTTCCAGCTGTGCAACCAGACACGCAAACGTGGGCCTGGTCTCGCATGTTGACCGCGAAAGTCAACAACCATGACAGCACATTTCTAAACCCAACCAACTCAACTACCTGCACCTTGCTTCGACGAACCTGGGAAAGTAATTCCTGGAAAGCGCAGAATGAAAGCATGAAGCGCACAATTTGTGATTTAGCCAATCAGCAGTCTGCATAAGGCTCGCAATGAACTCACAACCTTTCTCACCCACGTTCAAAGCAGGATCAGCACCCAACCAAAAACCAACCAGCAATGCACATCATTTTGCCCCTGAATTACTGTGCACTTCTCGTTGGTTGGTGTTATGAATGAACTTGCAGAGTGCGCAGTAAAACGAATATCGAGAATGAAAATTACAGAATGACGATACAGTGAGAAAGGCACGACTAAATAGGGGAAGTCCTAGCTAGGCGGAGAGGTTGGGCGAGGATGGCTCGGTGATGGATGCGAATGGTGAGGAGGCGACTCGGGGGTGGTTCGGTGCGACGAAATAGGAAGGACAGGTTCGTCGCGTGACCCTCGGGATGGCCTCGCTAACGAGTGCCTCAGTAAGGATTCTGTAAATCCTTAGTGTTGGCACTGTTGGGTTGTCATGAAGCCAACAACAAACCTAAAACAAATACGATTATGGTTAGGAAAGAGGTTCTGAAATACGACCAATAGTAGGGGAGTTTTACACGTCACCATGAGTCAGCACGCCTCAAAAACTGTGTGGCTTGTTCTGTTTGTGGTTGGTTATTGATTGGTTGTGACCGCTTTTTGTGCAGCCGAATTGAGCCGTTGTTCCGGTACACATACTCACTCTTTGTACAGCTCATACAATTTGTGGTTGTAACGCAGCACAATCGCGTCTGGCCTTGAGCTTCAAACACGTCAATTTGTTAGGTATCCCATCCCATCCCATGCCATCTCCTCCCATCCCACCCCATCCCCTCCCCTCCCCGCATTAGGCTGCTGCGTCAGCAACGAAAGTCCAACGTAGAATGATACTCGCCGTAGCCGACGAAGCCTGACCTGAGTTGACTGGGTTGGTCCTTGTCACTCAGGCGAACTCGCCAACTGTTCTGGCTTTGGGAGAGTCCAGCAGGTTTCTTGTACAGTGAACAAATTCGTTCGTCTCGTGGTGTTGCACAGCAGAAATCTTTACGGCGCATGTGGTCCGAGTCGAACTTAGTTTTTCCACGGTAGCGTACAGTTGAAAGACGTTTTAAAACGTTGCAAAGCGGTTCAGTTCGAACTTCGACTGTTTTCCAAATATCTCGCACTTTTTTTGCAAGCCACAATTTCTCCTTGCACTCGAGGCTCAACTGTCATGGCGCTAAACTTCACACTCGTCCCGTTCTTTGTCTGTCGTGCTGGTCGTCGTCATGCTTCTCGCGTCCGCCGCTAATGCCTACTGCCGTGTAACGGACCCAGCCTTTGATGCGCATCTAAGAGTCGTCTCTGCGAGTCAGTTCCTCATAGCCTCCTCATAATACTCGTGACGAAGTCGTATTCAAACCACTGATCGTTAGTCCTCATCGTAATCTTTTCGTGTTACCTGGCCTGGCCGCCGCGTCCACGCCTTTTCCATCGCCCGATGGCCATGTCCGGCTGGAAGACGCTCATCATATCTCTCATAGCAGTCTGTGCGCTGCTTGCATTAGCTGTCGGGGTTGATTTTTTCGGGAGAAAAGGGACTCCCGAGGAGACTCCTGGTAATACTCCAATTAGTAGGAATGGCACGCCTATCCCGCTGCCGACGCTTACTCTGCTACGCAATAGCACGCTTGGTGCCAAGTGCCTGGATGGAAGGTGAGCCTGCGAGGAGTCGATTAGTACTAATTCCGAGCGTTTTGCACAACCATAATATATATTTGTTATGAGTGCTAGATGTTGAAAACACTGTACTACAGTTTCTTTTTTCAAGTAGTGAGGTTGTCGAGCCGCGACATTTCGTTCAAATGTGGCATGTATCTTGTTCGCGCGTCGTTGTTGCCGAAATGGGCGACTCCGACTCGGAGTCGGAAAAGGCAGAGTGCCGTAAGTGACAAGTACCGTATCAGTCCTTTCGGTGAACCCGAGAGTTTGAGGGTTTTTTCGCAGCTTTTTGGATACTTGCCGTTGTGCGCCGCAGCTTTCCCGCAGAAAACCCACTTCGAGGCCGTTTAGGCACAAACCATTTCCGCGATGTGCGTTCTGTAAAAAGAAAGTGCCACCTTGGTGAGATCATCTTGAGTTTTGCGTCGGCTCAGAAGTCAGCTCGTGCGCTGCGGCTGCTTTTTGTCAATACAAGTACCGCTGAGTGTGGCGCCGATCATGGGGCGTCGATTTTAGAGGCGCCACAACAATCGGCGATCATGCGGCGTCGATTTTAGAGGCGCCAAAACAATTGGCGATCATGCGGCGCCCTTGATTTTCGGTTCTGCCGCTCGCCCAACCCAAATCCTACGGCTGAGATCAGCTCAGATCGATCAGATCCCGTGAGATGCCTCCCCCGCTATACATATTCCCCATATATCTCCCCCATCCCACCTCTCCCATGCCATCTTCCCCACGCCATCTCCCATCTTCCCTAGTACATCACAATCTTTCTACCTTTTTGTTGTTGGGTCTGGCAAATGTGTCGAACAGAATTTTCAGACCGGAAGATTGGGATGTGCGCCAGCCCTTCAGGGTACTCCTTCCGCCTCAGGGCGCCTACAGTGCCACATCATCTACCTTTGAAGCGCCTCAAAAGTATTTTCCATGCCAGTTTCCCCACACCATCTCCCATCTCCCCTGCGCCAGCCCTTCAGGGTACTGCTTCCTCCCTGGCATCTGTTCATGATGGCGCCGCAAGTGGCACGTCTACATCTCCTCAGGGGAATGGTGTGTCACTGCCCCCCATACCATCTTTCCCCATACCATCTTCCCCATACCATCTTCCCCATACCAACTTTCCCCATACCGTCTTCCCCGGACCATCCTCCATGCCATCTCCCCCATCTTCTCCACACCACGTCCCGCACTCCAGCCCTCCAGGGCACAAACTTCGTCCCGGCTCCAGTTCAGGGCGCTGCAAGTGGCACGTCTGCCTCTCCTCAGAGGAATGGTGTGTCACTGTCTCCCATGCCATCACCTCCCCCATACCTTCCCCCATGCCATCTGCTCCATGCCATCTCCCCCATCTTCCCCACACCACGTTCCCTACGCCAGCCCTCCAGGGTACTACTTCCGCCCCGGCACCGGTTCAGGGCGCCACAAGTGGCACATCTACCTTCCCGGGGGTGGCTGGTGTGTCACTGTCGCGGAATGCGTTGAGCGTGCGGGCACAAAATTCGGGTCGACAAGAGGATACCCTGAGCACGGCAGCGGCCCCGTAAGGCTGCTACCACGTGTTTTTACCCTCTTTTCTTTGTGTTTTTCAATGTGTCTGTAATAAGCTTGCTTCTTGACTTCAACTAGGTACTTGTGCTTTCCTTGCCCAGCCTAGCCTAGCCTTCTCCTTTACCACCCCCCTCGCAGCCTCGGTTCACACACTTCGTTTGCAATGTGACATTGCCATGCACAGGCGTGGTTTGGCGGTAAACTGAGCTTCAATTAGACTCAAAGTCTAATTGGCGCGTCAAGGTCTAATCAGACCGTGAATCTTGAGTCGACTCAAAGGCCACCTCTTTGCTTTGCACTCTTTGTTTCCACCGTGGCGTTGCCATGCACAGGTGTGGTTTGGCGGCATACTGAGCGCCAATGAGACCGAAAACCCCGTCTTTCACAACTGGAACGTTGTGAGGTTCGTCTACTGTGACGGCGGGGGTTATGCGGGCACGAGAGGGCGGATCAATCTCACCGACAGCTACTCTGACCCCAACACAACAGCCACTGCTTCGAAAGCAGTGAGGCTCGCCGCGGCAACAAATGTGAGCTTCGAGGCAATGGGTGCTACAGAGTCAACCAAGTCAACGGAGTCAACCAAGCCAACGGAGTCAACCAAGCCAACGGAGTCAAACCTGTCACTGCCTTCGGCCGTCTACCTGGACGGATGGAACATCTTTCAGGCTGTGCTGGAAGGTGTGTCCATTTACACCCAACTGCGCTTGTACCCTGTAGAAGCTCCTCTCTTACACCCAACTGCGCCTGTACCCTGTAGAAGCTCCTCTCTTACACCCAACTGCGCCTGTACCCTGTAGAAGCTCCTCTCTTACACCCAACTGTGTCCTGCTCTCATGGAATCTAGTAACTGAAGCCTTTATAACCTTCCTGTATGCCACTATCCTCGTGTTTCTCCTTTTCTACATCCCTTTCAACCCATGCCGCCTCTCTTCCAAGCACTCCTTGCCCTCCCTCTCTCCCTTTTTCTTTTCTGTTCCCTCCTCTTCACTCCATCACCCATATGTCTCTCCTGACTCTTTGAATCACTTTAGAGAATTCTCAAGAGAGACCCCTACGTCTCTCCTCACTCCTGTGCATGTACCTTCTCTCCACTTTCTAATCCCTCTATTCTCCTCTCCTTGGTCCTTTCCCCCTCCGATCCATACCCCTCCTCTCCCTTTCAGACCTCCAGCTGCAGCGTGGCTTTGGCTCCGCCACCCAGATTTTGCTTTCAGGCAGTTCGGCTGGCGGGCAGGCCACGGCAAACCTCTGTGATTGGCTGGCCTCTTCTTTCCCATCGGCTTCCACCCGGTGCCTCGTGGACTCTGGCTTCTTCCTGGGTACGCCCTCCCGGTGATCCGCCCTCCTTCTAGTCGGCCATCCTTCCATACCATATCATTTGTGCAAACCCCTGTGGCTTGGATTGCCCCTTCCTAGCTTACGCAAACGCAAACGCCCTCCCTCCCTTGCCTGGATTGGGCCCTCCCTTGCTTACTATACTTTCTCGTTTGGACAACGCAAACGCCCACTTCTCTCCCCACTGACTCGTTGACTGACCTTGCTCTCCCTTGAGTTTTTCACATCTCAGACACAAAGGATCGATCTTCAAAGCGCACGTTTCGTGCCTTGGCACAAAATTTGACCTGGCTGCATCGTCCGTTCAACCCTACCTGCTCCCATGGTACCTACTCTTCCTCCCACCATCGTAACCTGCCTTGCACATGTATTCTCCAGTTCCTTCCCAGCTGCCAGCATGATATCAACTTTGAACCTTTAATCACCTTTGTTTCCACTCTCCTTCACCATTCTCCACCCATTTCATCCAGCCACCAGGCAGTGCGAGCAATGGAAATGCTTTTTCCTTGAGCACACCCTTGTCGACATCTCCACTCCAATCTTCCTCTTCCAAACCCCCTTTGACTACGCCGCTGCCATGATTGGTAATCTTGTACCCAACGATTACTTTCGGGCAGTATCTTGCATGAAGGAGACACTCAGTGGCCGAAAATATCTCACTAGTATAGTGAGAAGCAGAGCATGGGGTGCGTTGAGGTGGAGGGTCAACTCGTCATGCTCAAAGGAGGAGCGGGAAGCCCTTTTCTGGGCAGCATGGACTCTATACGATCAAGTAAAGAGTTCTTTCTTGCAAAAAAAGTCGTTATTGGGAGTGTATGTTCCTGCATCGTACGTACATACATGCACCACCAATTCATGTTGGAATGAGCCGTGGATGAGCCCCAGTGGATCTCTTGCTGACGCGTTTGGGTTTTGGGAATCTAGAAATTCCTCTGTTCAACATGTTGCATGACAACTGAGCCATTTGGTTGTTTCTGTGTTTGGATGTTATCGAGCTGTGTATATGCATTGTTATCTGTATGTAACATATTAGCAATCAGTTGTGCTTCTATCCCATTTTTTAACAAGACTCGACGTTCAACGTCGTATGGGTTGCGTAGGTGCTGGAAACTCGATATGAGCTGATTGATCTCCATGTATGATCTCCCCATCTGTAATTGGTTCTTCTCATAACGCATATCCGTATGTGTGTTACAATTACGACAAGACCAGTTATTAGCTTAAAACGGTATACTGTATATGGTGCTTCGTTCTGCGCTGGCAGAAATTGTATCGTTCTGCGGTGGCAGAAATTGTCTTGTTCTGCGCTGGCAGAAATTTCATCTCTGCGGTGGCATCCGTCCCTTTCACAACTGCCAACTCAATTTCTGCGCTCTTTTCTTGGTTCCTGTTTTCTGGTTCCTCTCGACTCGACAAGCACACCTGCTCTGCTCTTATTCCTCTTCCTTCCCCCCATCCCAATTTCTCGCCAGTTCTCCCACCCAGCCGTCGCTCTTGCTCCTATCCCGCCGTATCCTCTCCCTCACTACCCACCTTCACCTCTCCTATTCACCTCACAGTCACTCAGCCCCACCCCGCGATCTCCTCTTCCTTACCTCCCCTCCGTCGCCTCTCCCTCCTCCCCAATGCCGCCTCTCCCTCCTCCCCGTCGTCGCCTCTCCCTCCTCCCCGCCGTCGCCTCTCCCTCCTCCCCGCCGTCGCCTCTCCCTCCTCCCCGCCGTCGCCTCTCCCTCCTCCCCGCCGTCGCCTCTCCCTCCTCCCCGCCGTCGCCTCTCCCTCCTCCCTGCTGTCGCCTCTCCCTCCTCCCCGCCGTCGCCGCTCCATCCTCCCCGCCGTCGCCGCTCCTTCCTCCCCGCCGTCGCCTCTCCCTCCTCCCCGCCGTCGCCTCTCCCTCCTCCCCGCCGTCGCCTCTCCCTCCTCCCCGCCGTCGCCTCTCCCTCCTCCCCGCCGTCGCCTCTCCCCCCTCCCCGCCGTCGCCTCTCCCTCCTCCCCGCCGTCGCCTCTCCCCCCTTCCCGCCGTCGCCTCTCCCTCCTCCCCGCCGTCGCCTCTCCCCCCTCCCCGCCGTCGCCTCTCCCCCCTCCCCGCCGTCGCCTCTCCCTCCTCCCCGCCGTCGCCTCTCCCTCCTCCCCGCCGTCGCCTCTCCCTCCTCCCCGCCGTCGCCTCTCCCTCCTCCCCGCCGTCGCCTCTCCCTCCTCCCCGCCGTCGCCGCTCCCTCCTCCCCGCCGTCGCCGCTCCTTCCTCCCCGCCGTCGCCGCTCCTTCCTCCCCGCCGTCGCCTCTCCCTCCTCCCCGCCGTCCCCTCTCCCTCCACGCGGTTGCCTCTCCCTCCTCCCCGCTGTCGCTGCTCCCCCCTGAGAGCGTGGGAGCGCGTGAGAGAACGTGGGAGTTTGCGTGTGAATTTCTGTTGCGCTTACTTTGTTTTTCAGCTGCATTCTCTGATTTTGTTTTCTTGTGCAACTAATGCAAGTTGTATTCTCTGGTTTTGTTCTTGTTTGTGCAGGGAGTGAGTTGCATTCGCTGATTTTCCTTTCCTGTGCAAGGAGTCCAAGCTGCAGCCTTTGTTTCTTGCGGAGAAAAGAGATGGGGAGAAAGGAGATGAGGGAAATGAGGGAGGGAGGGAGGGAGGGAGGGAGGGGAACGGGGGACAAGATAGAGATAATTAATTTATACAAGGCTGAAATTCATTCATTATGCTTGCATGCTTATTACAATAGCTGTATGTTTTTGCATTGTGTGTGTCTGTATATGTGTGAGCGTCTATGTGTGTGAGTGCGTACATGTGCATACGTGTGTTGTGCGTGCTTCAGGGTGTGGTGCTAAGTGCCTCGTGAATGCAACTCGGATTGTGATCGTCGGTGGGGCAGCTTTGCTAGCCTCTTCCGTACCATATCAATCTCAGTTGCAGCACTGATGCATTTTGCATCCGCTTTGAAACATTCTTAAACGTTGTCTTATGTTTTCATAATCATTTATGTGTTATCGTCTGTGCTTGTTTCGGGGGTGTGGTGCTAAGTGTATCGTGTATGCAACTGGGATTGTGATCGTCGGTGGGGCAGCTTTGCTCGCCTCTTCCGTACCATATCAGTCTCAGTTGTTGCATTGATGCATTTACTATCCCCTTCAAAACATGTACGACGGTTCTTGTACACCATCGTTTTTGTGGTCATTTGTGTATGTGTGTTTCTTGGTGATACTGTAGTATTTTTTGTGTTGTCCTTTGTGTTCGTGTGTCATTTGGTACCATATCATCTTTAGTGCTAGAACAATTCTCCAATTGTTCCATTCGCCGTACTTATCGACGATTATGGAATGATTGGAAACGAACACCCCAGCGGAATGAGGTCGACGGACCCGAGTTGCCAGTGTCGACGAGGGGGGTCGTCGAAGCCTGGGCCGACGGGGCGGAGCACTGACGCGCGTGCGGGCCCGCCAGCCTGGCCCAGGGCTGGCCCGAGCGCACGACCGCCGCCCCGCGGCCCCGCCCCGAACGTGAACAGCGGCCCACGTTACCGGGTGGGGTCGGCGAACTGGCGACACCTCGCGCGTGGGAAAATTACCCTCGCGCGAAGGCAGCCCACGCGCGCCACCTGCCTGCGAGGTCCTAGTAACCCATCGCGGCCTGCCCGGACGGGCAGGCGAGGGCCGGGCGAAATGTCGGGGCCCCCTCGGGACGCTCGACAATTTCGCGACCCGTTGCGGCGACGCCACGTGTTCGCCCGCCTGCTTCGCATCGGGCAACATGCAGAATTTGATACATTGCGAACTCAATTCGGGACATCGCGAATTCGATGTCGATCGCTTCGCGGCGCACGTTTTTCGCTTCGGGGCGTGACATCGACTTGCTGGCTCGGCGGCGAACGAGGACTTGTGCCACTTGTGGAGGACTTGTGCCAAACCCCGCCGAGGCAGGCACCACGAGGGCCGGGCGATGCCTCGACCGTTCCTGTGGGGCACCGACCCCCTTTTCTTGGTGGAAGGGGGCATAGCTCCTCATTTTCGGCATCTCGTTTCCCTTTCCACCTTTTCCCCAGCTCTGCGCCTTCTCCCACATTTCACGTCCCTTAGCCGCTTCCCTTCCCCGCCATGTCGGCCGCCACGAAACTCGGCGAAGTGACGCCGACTTCGCAGGACTTCCCTCTGTATCTCGACCTGGGCAGTGGACTGACTGCCAAGCTCGACGAACACGACTACGCCGTCCTCGTAGACCATAGGCTAGAGTTCAACGCCCGTTGCTTGGGATTCGGCCTCAAGTGAGTGTCCGTATTGGGATGTCGACGTCGACCGCTGGATACCTTGCAGGTCGACGTCGATAGGGTTGTCCCACGTTAGGGTTTAGATCACTACTCGGTGACGCACGCAGCCGTAGGTAGGCATCGTACTCCGATCACTACAGTAGGTCGGTGCCCGCATCGGTAGGCGCCATTGATTACAACGTAGCGACGGTGGTGCACCGTTCTACTCTAGCCATCCCCGTCAGTTGTCGGTTCCAGAACCCACGTGTCCATCCGTCGTGCCGTGCACGTCCTCAAACACATCTACTACCCATGCATGCGTGCAGGTACGCATGGATTCGCGCGGCGCCGGCCAACATGCGATTGTGGTCGATAGGACTCGGCCGGCTTCGGGCGGCGATGGGCAAGGAAGACCACTCATGCTTTGCAACGGTGTTCGACGCCGACGTAGCTGTTATCCCTCTGCATTCGAGGTGAGCCTAAGTCATGATGGTGTGCCTTGATGCCTTATGTCGCTGCTCCGTTCTGATCGACGTCGTGGTGCCTAGCCTGTGCAGCATCGCACCGCTTCCAGGGGCACATTGCAGCGTCGTGGTCATCCTGTACCCCGGCGACTTGTTGCGGGCCGGGGGAGAGACGATCAGGACCTCTGTCCGGCACTTCGACCCGCAAACCGTGAAGCAGTGGCACCGCGACGAGGCGATCCGCGTGCTGAAGTGAGCTCGATAGTGTAGTCGACGACGCATGCAATTTCGCCGCTGGGCGTTAAGCAAGTCTACTGACGATATGTGCCATGTTGCTTCAGGTTTTTCCGGGCGGCGGTGCTGGCCGAGCTCGGCCGCGATGGCCGGCACTGGGAGTGGCCGAAGCCTTCTGCTGAAGAGGTGGCGGCCAGGCTCGCCGACTTCAATGAACCCGTTCGAGATGTGAGTACCGATCGTTTTACCGTCCTAGCGCGATGCCATCGCCGCCGTCGGTGCTCATCCTTGCTCTCTCCTCTGTTGTTTGCAGAAAATGCGCGACACCGTCCGGGACGGCGACGCAGGCTCTGGCCTCCTCTCAATGAGCGCGCTGTGCTGGGTGGTGAAGAGGATGGATCGCCTGACCGGCGACGACCGTCGCAGTGCGACCAGCATGGACAAGGTCCTCGTTTCGGGGTTGAAGGAGCTGCGGATTCGGATGATGACAAACATCAAGGAACACGTCGCACGCAGACGGTCAGGCCATGTCGGAGTTGGTGCCGATGCCTGTGAAGACGACGCCGCGGAGCCCCCTTCGGCATCCCAAGCAGTCGGTGTCGCCGACACAAGCGGAGAGGCCGGAGACGGCGTCGACAAGGCAGATGAGGAGGCAGAGAGGGCTGTGGCGAGGACCGCGGATCAGGAAAAGGAGGAGGAGGAGGATGACACCGACGATCAGGATGATAACGAGGAGGATCGTGAGGAGCGTGAGCAGGGGCATGGGCAGGAGGAGGAGGAGGAGGAGGAGGAGGAGGAGGAGGAGGAGGAGGAGGAGGAGGAGGAGGAGGAGGAGGAGGAGGAGGAGGAGGACGACGAGGAGGAGGAGGAGGAGGATGATGAGGAGGAGGAGGAGGACAAGGAGGCGGCGGCGGCGGAGGCCGTGGAGCAGGGTTTCGGGTCGGTGGAGCAGGTGGCGGAGGGGGAGAAGCAGCAAGAGGGGGAGGAGGAGGTAGAGTTCCCCTGGGTCGAATTCGAGATGGAGGATGTTGAGGGAGCGGCGGCGGTGGCCGTGGAGGGAGCGGCGGCGGCCGTGGAGGGAACGGGCGGGATGTCGGCGGATGTTGTGTACGTGCGAGGGGAGGGTGCCGATGTGGAGAATGTCGGCGTGGAGGAGGCGCACGTGGTCGGCAATGTGGTTGGCGACGCGAAGGAGGAGGATAACGTCGCGTCCCCGACGCCGACGGGCGTGGAGACCACCACAGGGAACGCAGGGGTGGAACGCCGGGGTGGAGCGGTAGAGGCGGGCCGTCAACCGGGTTCCTCAGCAGCTGGTCGGCAGGCAACGCCGGCCGTCGTCGCGCAGCTGCGACAGGAGAACATGTGGCTGAGGGCTGAAAATGCTCGTCTCGAGACGGCGCTCGGAGTGGAGAGGGGTCGGGTGGACAGGTTCGCGATGGGGATTGGCCACCTCGTGGACAAGCTCAGGTCGTTGGCCGACCAGGTCGCCGCCTCCGACCAGGACGCGTCGAGTCGGCTGATGGACGCGTCCTTGACCATGGCGACGACCGTGACGGAGAACATCACTGCCAACATGGGTGAAGCATGGGAGGCGATGAAGGCGTACGCCGAGAGGGCGGAGAGCTGGTTGGACGATCTAGAGAATCCGGAGGGGGTTATGGCGGTGCAACGTGCGAACGCGGTCGTCGCCCTGGGCAACCACGTGGACGAAGCGAGGAAGGGATTGGAGGAATACATATCGAAGCACCTAGTCGCCGCGCAGACCAACATCACCGCCGCCGTAACTCAACGCGTCGCCGTCCCGCCGCCCACGCAGCCCGCCCCACCGCCAGCCTTCCCGGACGAGCTCATGAAGTCTTTCAAGGCGGACGTGTTGAAGGCGGTGACTGAGGCCACCCAGCAGTCGTTTGCTGCGTCCGGGTTAAACCTCATGACCCAGGTGATCGGCCATCTGGCGCCTGGTCGGCATGGGTCGTCGCCGTCGGACAACGAGGCCGACAAGAAGGGTGCGAAAAGGGCGGGCGGCGGAGATGATGCGTTGAGCTCGAAGCGGAGCAAGGGAGCCGATGGGAGCCGCGGCGTCGGCCAGGTGGCTCCAGGCGGCTCGCGGAGCAAGGGAGCCGATGGGAGCGGAGGTACGAGCGTGGTCGACCAGCTGAAGAAGAACGGGGCCAAGGTGATAAGGACGCACAGCAAGGGCGATGGAATCAGGAGTGCGGAGGGGGGCCCTGCCGACCAGGTTGCCGCTCAAGAGGCTGACCAGCAGCCCCGCCATTGGTCGCCGAGAAGCCGGCCAGTCTAGCGACCGCACCAACGGCGATAGATGGCGGCGCCAAAACCGTCAAAGGACCGTCCGTCGGAGTGGCGGGGACCACGTCGATCCCCCGCAAACCCCCTGCGGCTAGCAGCGCGCCGGTCGCCGCGTCAGCCGCCAACAACGATGGGCCGTCCCTTGCGGCTACTCCAGCACCAGCAGGCACGTCTGCCGCCAAGGTTGACGCGGTGGATGCTGCGGCTAACCGCGCTGGTCCGTCCGCCCCAAAGGCGAACGCGCTCAGGGAGATGCTCAGCCGCATGGAGACCCATCGACAGGACGTGCAGCAGCCTCCCGTGGTCGGCACCGCGCCGGCCACAACAGCACGTCGCTCGGTCACTCCCCAGGTCGCTGCCACAACGTCCGGTGCCCCACCTACCGCGCCTATCATCGCCGCCCGTCCTCCTGTGGACCCAAAGTCCGCGTTGCTTCGCGCCCAGTTAGGCGTACGTACTGCGGCTGCGCCGGCACGGGCTCAGCCGGTATCCAGCTCATGCGCGACGCCGACGTCGGTGACCGTAGCTGCACACACACTCGGTGCGGCTACTATCGAGGCGGTGGCGGAGAAGGGCGTGAGTGCAGCGCTAGCCACGGGCGGCAGATCAGTTGACCCTGCACAGGCGGCGAAGGACCACAACGACGCCGATATCGCTGCCATCCAGGACCTGTTGGAAGCGGTAAACCGCCCCAAGCAGCCCCCTGTGCTGGCCATCTTGGACTCGGCGAGTCCCACCGGCTGTACAGCGGAGCCAAAGACGACCACTGCTGCGGTCGGCGCGGGAAAGTCGAAACGGAAGGGGACGGTCGACGCAGGGAAAGCGAGGCTGAGCTCGAAGAAGAAAACACGGGCGACGTCGGCGATGGTGAAGTCGGTGCAGAAAGGACAGGGGATGGCGACGGCGATGGTGGAGAAGGAGAAGAAGGAGGAGGAGAAGGAGGAGGAGGAGAAGAAGGAGAAGGAGAAGGAGAAGGAGAAGGAGAAGGAGAAGGAGAAGGAGAAGGAGAAGGAGAAGGAGAAGGAGACGGAGGAGGAGAAGGAGGAGGAGGAGGAGGAGGAGGAGGAGGAGGAGAAGGAGAAGGAGAAGGAGGAGGAGGAGAAGGTGGAGGAGGCGGAGGAGAAGAAGCTGGAGGAGGAGGAGGCGGCGACGGAGGAGGAGAAGGTGAAGGTGAAAGAACGGAAGGGTCATGGCATCCGCCACGACTCGACGGGCGACAAGCAAGGGTGGGTGGGCGAGATCAAGGTGGTCGGGAACGAGAGCAGATACATCGGCAAGTCCCGCGACAAGATGGAGCTGGCGTACCTTCACTCCATTGTGTACCTCCTGTACGACGGTTTCGTCAGCAAGATCCTCATGGCCGAGCTCACCGGCCTGGAGGAAACAGTGATGAAGCAGTGGAGGGCGGTGTGGAAGGAAGTCCGGTTCTTGCCGACTGGGATGTGGACGGTGATCTGGGCAAGGGGCGCGTTCCTCCCAAGGACACGGTAAGTCGGATAAACGTCGGCCAAGCTATGATGTCGACGTCGGCGTTCCTAACGGCCAGTTTCGTGTGATTGCGTGACAGGTTCGACGACATCCTCGGGAAGTATAGAGCGTACAAGACATCAGGCGATGCGCACCACGACGCGCTTTTGCCCGCGATCTGGTTCCCCGTCGATGCCGACGGGAAGTCGGATGCAATGATGTCGGCCATGCTTGATCGCGTGTCCTTGTGCGCGGCGTATGGGGAGGTCGCTGCATCCGCGGCGAGAATGGAGGGCGACACGGATCAGAAGACGGCGAAGGTCGCACAGGCGCTGTCGGCCTCAGCTTGCGCACTGTGGTGCTTAGTCGAGGGCGACGGCGCCCAGGTGGCTGATGCCGTCCGCGAAGGGAAGGCGGCGGCGATGTTGGTCGGCGCCAGCGAGACTACCGCCGCCGAGTTCAAGAAGGTCATGACGGCGGTGCTGGAGGCCGCGATCAGCAGGCAGCAACCCCTTGGGGAGGTTGCGCACAACGTCGCACCGGCGCTGGAGTCCACCGCTCTGGCCAAAGCCTATCCGGGGTTGGATGTTGAAGCCGAGGCCAAACTGATCGCACGAGCGACGGTGGAAACCCTCGCGTTCTGGGGAATGTGCCCCGTGGATGGGCCGAAACTCAGGAAGATCGGCATCGCGGTGCCGCTTGACGCGCAGATGGAGTACGACATCGAACACAGGGGGAGGAAGAGGCCGAGGGGCAAGCAGGGCAAGGACAGCTCGGGGAAGAAGGGGAAGAAGGGCAGAGCGGGCAAGGACAGCACGGCGGCGTAGTCGGCATAACAATCTGCCATAGGCGGCAGGAGGGAGCGCAAGTAGGTCTTCTTGCAAGGATGGCCTGGTATGGGCGGCGTCGATTATGTGGTTTTTTTGGGATTTTTTTTTTTCGTTTGATTGTATAGTTTTCGTTGGGATTTCTTTTGTTGGCTGTAACTTTTTGGTAATGCATGTTACTAGAACACTCCTCGGCAAGGTCGACCTGATATCTACCATGTTACTCAAATGCGGGCCCCGGTTCGATGAACCCCGTCGTACGGTGTCGACATAGTGCGTCTGGCTGTATGCATGTATATACTCGGCGATGAGCATCCTCGGCTAGGCCGAGATGGTCAATGGTCGGCGCTTTGGGGAATGTGCCGCGCCGCCCAGGTGGCCGAAACTCTAGGAGGTCGGCATCGATGTGCCGTTTGACGCGCATATCGAGCGGGCATGGACAGCACGGATGCGTAGTCGGCGCGCGGAAGGAGCGCTAGGTGGTATGATTGCTCGGTTATAGCGTGATGGGCGCCGTTTGCGCCGTTTGCATGCAGTCAGCGATGTCGACATGAATAAGGCACAATGAATTGCACACACATGGTGGCGACTATGTCGGAGTCCGACATATCTGGTTCGGATGTATGTGTTGGATCATGTATGTTCTTGTTGCATCAAAATGAACAAGTACGATGGGAACACAACGGTTTGCTAAATTAGGGTATCATCAACCTACGCTAACACATATACACCGAGGATCTTCATGCCGACTTCTTGCGCTTTGACGGAGGACGCTGCGCAGGTGCGGTCTGCTTGGCCAAGTCGGCCACGGTCTTCGGCATCTGCTCCTCCCAGGTGTCTGGAAACAGGCGGTCGACCCACGTCGTCGGCTTCAGCTCGAGCGCCACCAGCGCACAGGCGAGGCGTAGCTTCGAGACCACCTTGGGGCCAAGCCCCTTGACGCCCATGCCAGGCTCCTTGGACATCGTCGGTGCCGTCTCCGGGTTGAGCACCGTGAGGGCATCGCAGAAGGTACCAATGCCCGGTGCCGCGATCGTGTTCAGTGCATCGACCACGGCTTCGGTGTCGGCATCGCCGTCGCTCGCGCGTAGCTGGCGCACCGCATCCATGGCCTTCAGCATGCGGCGCACCCTCATGTTGAGTGCACCCTGGGTCGCGCCGGCGAGGAGGGTGTGGCGGTCGATGAACCCCGGCTCGGCGACCCTGTCGCAAAGACGACGGGTGTCATTGGCGGTGGCGGAGTTCCAGAGGCGCCAAGCGTCCCGCACGGTCTTTGAATCCCGCCAAGGTTGCACGACGTTGAGCTCGTAACTGGCCTCCTCTGCCGTCTGGGGGGGTGGCGGGGGTTTCCCATCATCTCTCTTGGCTCCGGTCCCCGTGTTGGCCGAATCCGCGGAGCCACCTTCGCCCGGAGTTTGATCGGTAGCCGACGTCGGCGCCGCCGGCATCCTCCGGGCTTCTGACACACGGAGTGCCTCAGTGAGTCGAGCAAGCTCGGCGGTGAGCGACGCGATGGTGTCGTTTTGCTTCTCGATCGTCTCCTGAAAGCCTAGCTTCTCGAGCGCCGAGCGCTCGACCTCCTTCTTCAGCGCCTCCTTGAGGGACATGTTGTGATACTGGGTGTCCATGCGCACGGATATTTCCTGCAATGTTGGGTGTGCGGAAAGGCGACAAGAGGTTAGAATTCACCGGCTAAAATCCAACAACGCCGACATGGTCGGCAACTCACCTCCGGTTGTATCTGAGTCGGGTCCCGGCGCTTTTTGATCGTATCGGTGTCGACCGACTCGACCCTTTTCGCCCAGTGCTGGAAGAGGGCAATCCTGCAGAGCTTGGAACCTTGGACGTACGGGTGCCACGGTGTGCGGACGAGCTTCACCGCGAGGTCCTCGGCGACGATTCGTCGGAACATCACGAGGGTGCGCAAGAAGTGCACTGCGGCTGCAGCGGCGTCGCTCCCGTTGACGGCACGCGTCTCCGCCTGCAAGTCGGAAAGTGGCGTGGGTTAGTAGGGAGTTGGGCAGCCAACTAGGCCACGACGACTGAAATACATTGTCGGCGTCGCGTGACATACATCGCGCAGCATAGCATCCACGCCGGGGAAGATGTGCTCGGCGAGCAGGTCCAGGAGTTTGTCGGAGGGCTCGACCCTGCTGCGCCCCAAGAAGTAGTCTTGCTTGAGTCCCGAGTAGCCGGCCTTCTGCATCACCACCCCAACGGGAATGGCCGTGATGTACGCACGCGTCATCTTGTCGAGAGCCCAGTGTCCCAGCTCGGCGATCTGGGCGCGCGGCGTCCCTCCGATGGCTAACTCCTGCGCACCTCCGGCGCGGGCGGCGTGCACGTTCCTTTTGCAGAACACCTTGTTGGTCGTCCACACCTGCCGAGTCCAACGTTGGTGGGTGGCGGAGGAGAGCTCCTCCTGCTCCTTGTCGTTTCTGGCGAAGAAGAGATGCGTCTTGTACCAGCGTTCGCGTTCTGTGATGTCAAGCGGCGAAAGAAAGTCGGTGCCGGAGAACTGACCGATCTGGTCGAGGATGAAGTGCAGCCACAGGCCGGTCTCGCCGACGGCGCACAGCTCCGCTTCCAGGTGTCGCGCAGCGTAGCTCTGCTGAAGACGGGCATCCTTGGAAGTCTTCGAGTTACGCGCGGCGATCACCATGACGACCGGCTGGCTATCCGGGTTCACCTCCGAGGTGCTCGCCAGGTGGTACAAGAAGATGTCGGGGAGCGTGATCTCGCGGATGCTGCCGCCGCGCAGGAGAGTGTGGTGGGAGAGTAGCGTGAGCACCTTGATGAGCAGGAATCGCCACAGCGTCTGCGACGGAGTGGTAGCCCGCGGGTTCCACGCCGCCGCCGCCCATGTCGGCAGCACCCTCATCATGATCTGGCGGAACTGCTCGGCGGTGTAGGTATCGCCGATGGTGCCGCGTCGACGGTCGGCGCAGTTCCTGAACGCAAATCGGCGGGGAAAATCTGTTAGACTGCGTCGACTTCACAGTGCACAGTGATATATAATAAGGTTGTCGACCAACTTACTTGAGGTCCCTCTCGTTCTTGTGGCGGACGTTGAACCGCACCTCCGATCTCACCACCGAGATCTCCCTCATGAGGCCCAGCTCCTTCTCTCGGTACAGCGTCGCCTCCACCCTCGCCGCCATCTGGCATGCCTTTATCCGGCCGAGGATCGTGTGCACAGTTGTCGACCTCACAGGCCCCGTTCGCGTGGCATTGTTCTCCTCCCCGGGCTGGTCAACAATGAGGTTACACTCACGGCTCATTTGCTTCACGTAGGCGCGCAGCCGGGTTTCGGTGACCCTAGGGCCGTGCAGCCAGATGTACTGTCGGCGGACCACTTTCTCGTTGCACCAATCCTCTTTCTTGTTGTCGCGGATGTAGTGGCCGATCTCGTCGACGTGCCTAAGTCGTTGCTCATGGGGTAGCTTGTCGCGTAGCTGCTTCAGCATCTTCGCCGCCCACTTCTTGTAGTGGTAGATGAACGCGGTGTACAGCCTGAGCGTGCTATTCTTCTCCAAGCATTGTAGGTGTCGTAGGGCGTCCATTATGAGCACGTCAATGCTGGAGTACACCATGTCGTCCACTACAAAGTCCGTCGCCTTCCACCCTTCGCGCGGCACCGCCATGTGCTGATCGTCCTCCTTCTCGTCCGCGTCGAGCATGTCACGTATGTATTCAAATTCCCGCCTAAGGCGTTCTTCCAAGGTGCGCGGATTCGTGCTACGCGGAGGACGGTCGTCGACTTCGTCGTCGCTCTCTTCCTCGTCCTCCTCGTCGTTATCACCTTGGTTTTCCGAGCCGGCGGGCACCGACGAAGGTCCAGTCTGCCCATCTGCCGTCGGTGTCGACTTCTTCGTAAACTCCCCAATTGGCGGATTCGGTATGTCCTTGGTGTACTCCCCTTCGGGAATCTGAGTAAGTTTGTCAAGATCGTAAAGCAACTTCAGCGTCTCTACGGGGGCAGAGGACGGACTGTGGTCGGTTGGGGTACCAACGTCGGGCATGTCGACGTCGTCCATGACCGCTCGTATGCTCTACCGCCGGCCGTGGAAGAGGGAAAGATTGGTCAACCAGAGATGGTACTGATTCACGGGTGCGGTGTACGCCCTAATCGTCCTGCGGCTGTCTTCCTCGAATTCCCTCTCAAGTGCTTCTAACTCAGCGTCGACCTCGAGTCGTTCCAGTTGCGCTTTGATGTCGTCGTCTACCGAATCGGCGGGGGGTGGGATAAGTTGTTGTGGCTGTTGGGCACTAGCCCTTCCTCTGGCCACGCGTCGCCGACTCGGTAAGGTTGGGAGATGCTATCGTCGCCCTGATCTATCGTCGCCGACTTTCCTAGATGACGACCTAGAACCTAGTAAGGCGAAGTCGACGATGGTCGACCCCAACACCGACCTATGGCAGTCTATTCCAGGTCGTCGCCTTTGTGCCGCCGCTCGGTCGACTCGGCCGTCGAGTAACCTACACCCGCAGAGATAGCGAGGGTCCTGTGAAGAAAACGAAGTGCTAGATGGCGCACAGGAGCATGAGAGAAACACGAAGCTGAACCGGCAGAATGAGAGCGTTGTGCGTGGTCAAGGAGGGGTATGGTTGCGAGCCACTGCGCACCTGCCGCGCTCCACGCAGCCCTCTTTGCAAGCGCCGCTGTGCACGGGCATGACGTGTCACGATCGATGCATGTCTAGTGTCACGCCGCTCTGCGCTCAACGGCACTCCCGCCGGTGCCTTGCCACGGTGGAATTCACGTGCGCCACGTGCAATATGCCAATGACCTAGTTCCACTCTCCCGAAATGCCGTAGCGTCCTGCTCTCCCGCGCAAGCCTCATCGACCTGCGAGTAGGCGCGTGGCCGGAGGCTTGGTCGACGCCGACATTCCCTGACTCCGGGGCTCTCTTCGCCGAGGTATACCATCCCATTTGTTTTCACATTTTTGGGGAAGCTATGTGAACAGTGATTTCTTTCAAATTTTATAAGAGAAATTCACTGTTCATATGAGCCAACCGAAAAGTGAAAACGAATGTATAAGGTTGCTACGCAACCCAAAAATAAGGTACGGCTTGTTGGGAACATCGCAAGTGTACGCAAGCGTTGTATCCTAGCCGCAGGTTCGGTGAACAGCAGTGCATTTCAAGTCGCCTTCTCTTGCAAGGCAGGCACGGTCAGGCAAGAAGTAACCCTATTCCCCAACCGTACAAGTTTGCGGCTGCAGATTTGCATTGCAACTATTGTTCATCTGCTCAAACCACCAGAGACACGTTCGTCGCGTCGCGTCGTCCCTATTTTCCACTCCAGCTCAGACCACAGATAGAGTACAGTAGTCCAACCAAGTCATGCTCACGCCACAGGTCAGTTCAGCTTCAATCGCCCTTTTCTCCCCTTCCAGCTATCCAGCAAGAATGGTAGGTGCAACTGCCGTGAGACGTCCTTCGCAATGCAATGCATTCGTCCAAAATTCCTGGGAACAAATAGCGACTTGTAGTGGGCACATTCGCCTGAACCCAGCCGCTTCTTCCCATGTCTCCTCGCTTTACCAGCCATGCAGGCCCGAAAGTCCCTCATCATCTCTGTCATAGCAGTCTGTGCGCTGCTTGCATTGGTCGTCGGAATAGTACTTTGGAAAAGAGAGACTCCTGAGGATGCTGGTACCACTAGTAGTAGAACCAGCACGCTTATTCCGCTTATTCTGCTGCCTAATAATACGCTTGGTGCCAAGTGCCTGGATGGAAGGTAATCCTGCCAGCAGTCCAATTAGTGATTCTTGCGTTAGTAGTCGGGATAGTTCTCTGGACGAAGCGGCTTCCTGAGCAGTCTCCTGATATTCCGCTTATTATGCTGGCCTATTTATATGGTTGGTGCCAAGTGTCTGGATAGAAGGCGAGCTCGCGAAGGTGTCTTTAAAGATGTCTCAGAAGTGTATGGAGAAGGTGGGCCAGCGAGGCCTCCAATCAGCGACTAGGCCGAACCGACTTTGTACCTAACTCAAACGTCACCGCGTTTTAAGTCCAAGCTTCTAGGCGGTTAATTAGTGTTTGTTCACGCTTTCAACAACTCGCGTGTGTGTTTAGGACATTTCGCCGCACTTTTGCCAAAAGCAATGCTTTTCGGCTCAGGGAGCCAGAACTGGCACGTACACCTGCCTTCAGGCGGCTGGTGTGTCACTATCGCTGCATGCACACAGCGTTCTCGCACACGCTTCATTTCCACCTTTCCCATATCATGTCCCCTGCTCCAGCCCTCCGGGATACTATTTCCGCGCCGGCACTGGCTCGGGGCGCCAGAACTGGCACATATACCTGCCTGCAGGCGGCTGGTGCGTCACTGTCACTGCATGCGCGCAGCGTGCGCGCACACTGCTTGGGACGACAAGAGGGTACCCGAAGCAACTCAATGACTCTGTAAGGCTGTTGTTGCCTTCGAGACGCCTCAAAAAGAAGAAGAAAGGTTTCTGCTACGTCTACCATCAAAAGATTGTACATCCGTTTTGAAAGTTCTAAAACATATTTCACAAGGCAAGAGGATGCCTGAGCCTCGAAGAGGGCTCACTTTTCTCTATTTCACTTCAACCAAGTGTTGGGATGAACCTCCTTCTTGCACTCCTCCTCACTCCTCCTCAGCCCCCTCTTTCCGCCCCTGGTTCTATTGCCTTTCCCGTGCAGACTCCGTATCACCACTCACCCCTCTTCCCTTTTCTTGTTCACCCCTCAACCAACCCAATCCCCACCACACCCTTTGCTTGCACCATGTCAACGCCTTGCACAGGAAACGTTTGCCGGTGTGCTGAGCTCCAACGAGCGAATCAACCCCCTCTTCCACAACTGGAACCTCGTGAGGCTCCTCTACTGCGATGGGGGCGGCTACGCCGGCACGAGAGGGCGGATCAACCGCACAGACAGCTACTCTCATCCGAGCACCGCTGGCACTTCGCCAAAATCAGTGAGGATCGCCCCGGGAACGAATGTGAGCTTGGAGGCGGATGGGTCAACGGGGTCAACGGGGTCAACCGGGCCAACGGGGTCAACGGGGTCAACGGGGTCAAACCTGACGTTGAAACATCATTCAGCCATCTACCTGGACGGATGGAACATCATTCAGGCGGTGCTGCAAGGTGTGTGCCAATTCTCCCCCTCTCCTGCACCTTGTATGGATAGATGCTCTTTCAAATTTGCCTTCTCTCATCACATGACATGTCTCTTTCAAATTTGCCTTCTCTCATCACATGACATGCATCTCAATTATCAACTTTCTCTTTCCTTCTCTCTGCCTCTCTTGCATCTTTCAGGTGGTCCTGTCACATCCCTCTCTTCATTCTTTTCAGCCGTTCTTCTCTGCTCCCTTTCCATTTCCCTTTGCCCAATCCACCTCTCCCTCACCCCTCACACCATTCGCCCCCGATTCCTCCATCCCCCCCATCAGACCTCCAGCTGCAGCGTGGCTTTGGCTCCGCCTCACAAATTTTGCTTTCGGGCAGCTCGGCTGGTGGGCAGGCCACAGCAAACCTCTGTGATTGGCTGGCCTCGTTGTTTCCATCCGCATCCACCCGATGCCTTGTAGACGCTGGCTTTTTCCTAGGTACGCCCTTCTAGTATATCGGCCCAACCTTGCTTACCGCGCCTTGTTTTGGCAAAGCAAACACCCCCTGTCCTCACAGGTGACTTGTCTTGTCCCCTGACCTCGTTTTTTCCACCTTTCTTTCGGCTCCTCCCACTATCTGAATGGTCCCCTGACTCCCTTGTTCCAACTTTGTGATTCTCAGACACAAGGGATCGCTTTTCAAGGCGCACCTTTCAAGCGCTGGCGCAGAAATTGACATTGCTGCATCGTCCGGTCAACCCTACCTGCTCCTATGGTACCCCCACCCACCACCCTAACCTGCTGTGCATGTACTATCCCATCACCTTTTCTAGCTTTTGATCACCTTTTCTCTTTTTACCACCTTTGTCTCTTTATATCGCCTTCGCATTTGACTGTTTTTATCGCCTTTGACCCCCTCATATCCAGCTGCCAGGGGATCGGAACAATGGAAGTGCTTCTTCCTACAGCACACCCTTGTCGACATTTCCACTCCAATCTTCCTCTTCCTCAACCACCGTAACCTTCCTTGGACATGTATCCTCCAGTTCCTTCCTAGCATGATATCACCTTTGCACTTTTAATCACCTTGGTTTGAACTCCTCTTCACCATTCTCCACCCCATTCTATCCAGCCGCCAGGCAATCCGAGCAATGGAAGTGCTTCTTCCTACAGCACACCCTTCTCGACATCTCCACTCCAATCTTCCTCTTCCAAACCCCCTTCGACTGCGCTGCTGCCATGATTGGCAACCTCTTGCCTGATAACTTGACTCATGCATATTCTTGCGTGATCGAAACACTCCATGCCCGGAAACACATCACAAGTATAGTGAGAGCCGGAACGTGGGGTGCATTGAGGTGGGGCTCCAATTCGGCGTGTTCTAAGGAGGAGCGCGAATCCCTTTTCTGGACAGCGAGGACTCTGTACGATCAGGTGAAGAATCTAATTATACAGAAAAATACATCATTTGGAGTGTATATTCCTGCATCATACATACATACATGCACCACCGGCTCGTGTTGGAATCAACCCTGGATGAGCCATCGTGGATCTATTGCTGATGTGGTTAGCTTGTGGGAAAAAAATGCTACTCGAAATTCCTCTATCGTACGTATTGCATGACAACTATGCTTCTCAGGTTCAATTGGTTCGATATATGATTCTAAAACTACCTGCATGTACTTATACTACCATGAATTGTTATGGTTGGTGCCACATTATGGCAGGGAAGCAGTTTTGCCAGCAGGGAATAAGCTCTCGTCAGTGAACCGATCTTCTGTACTGATGTACCATATTATAAAGATTACTGCCTAGACTTGAAGCTTGTTCTTGACGCATACGGTGGTAGTCGTCAAGCCGCGACCTAGAAATTGGTAAGGCGTGTGCGTGTGATTCGTCATTGGTGAAGGCTGTTCGGGATTAGTGGGTAGTTTTCGAGCGCAGGTAGTTAGAAAGCTTATCAGGAAGAAAGCAGGGGTTCAATATGTGCTTCCCTTAGTCCCTGCATGTAACATTGATATCTCCGTCAATGTGGCTTGTACAGAACTCATCGACAATACCTAATCACCGCTCCACAATGTAGCAACCTACCTCGTTTTACTAACCGTTGAAGTGTGTTTTCCTTTTGCTCTTAAGAGTGTACATTCGTGGCGCACTGCGGACCGAGGTCGCGAAATGGACACGCAGGGAGTATTGGAGCTTCAGGAAATGCGGGGAGTCGGGGGATCAGAGGGAGTCGGGGGGTCAGAGGGGGTCGAGGGATCACGGAACGCGAAAGACCTACGGGACAGCTCAACGCATGGCATCAATTTAGATAGCGAGAGGGGGACGACGATCGCAGAGGCACCTCAGAAGCAACCTAGTCCCAACCACGCAAATGACGACGGGATGAAGAGGGGGGAGAGTGAGGAGCAGCACGAGGCCTCCGCTTCCTCCGATCCCTCCGCTCCCTCCGCTCCCTCCGATCCCTCCCCCTCCTCCCCGCCTCCCGCCGTCCGCTGGTCCGTTGCGCCGTGCACCCGCGGGGGGCTTGAGGGGCCGCCGCAGCTCGACATCTCGCCCGCGCCGGGGGAAGCGGAAGGGTGGGAGGCCGCGCCGAGTCCGGGGAAGGCGCGGGAGTGGGGGGAGTGGGGGGAGTCGGCGGAGTGGGCGGAGGTAGACCTGCGCGAGATCACGCTGACCAAGGAGATTGCGCGGGGGTCGTCCAGCGTGGTGTACAGAGGCGTGTATCGCAAGCAGAGCGTTGCTGGTGGGTGCTGTGCGGTGAAGAGGGGTGAGAGAGGGTAGGAGATTGCGCGGGGGTCTTCCAGCGTGGTGTACAGAGGCGTATACCGCAAGCAGAGCGTTGCTGGTAGGTGCAGTGCGGTGAGGAGGGATGGGAGAGATGAGGACTGGAATGGGTGAGAGAGAGTAGGTTTAAGGGGAGAGGCTGTGGGGGAAGAGGTCACGTAGGTAGGGGGAAGAGGTATTGGTTGAAAGTGGTTCTTGCAGGTAAGGCGGATGATCTTCATTCCACAACCCCCTCTCCTCTCCCCGCTCCCCGCTCCCCGCTCCCTGTGTGCGTGCGTTGCAGTGAAGGTGGACATGGGTGGGGGCGACGGGTCATCATTGCACGCGGTGCAGGAGAGGCGGGAGGACTGACCTACTTCCTTCTCATCTCCACGCCATGCCCTCCGCGCCCCGCCCCCCCACCCCCCCGCCCTCCACCCCCCGCCCCCCCGCCCCCCCCGCCCCCCCGCCCTCCTCCCCCCGCCCCCCCGCCCTCGTCCCCGTGTGCGACCCTGGCAGTGAAGGTGGTGGACCTAGGCAGCAACGACGGCTCATCGCTGCATGCGGTGCAGGAGAGGAGGGCGGCGCTTATACGGGAGGTGATTATATGGAGCCGCGTCACGCACCCCCATATAGTCCCGGTGAGTCAGTCAGTGTCAGGGGGACGTACCTGTCCATCTGTATGAGTCGGCTTGTAAGGAGGACGGCTCATTTGGGAGGTGATTAAATGGAGCCGCCTCGCGACCCCCCCCCCCGCCCTCCCATGTGCGTGTGCTCCCCCTCCCAACCAGGTGATAGGGGCGCACATCCCCCTGCTCTCCCCCGAGGCCCACCCATCCCCCTCCCCCCGGACGCCCAGGCAGCAGAGGGTGGACTCGCGCCTGCGGGGCGAGCAGGCGTGCGTTGTGAGTGCGCTCATCGGCACGGGCGTGACGCTCAAGGAGTATCTCGCTCGCACTGCCAGGGAGAAGAGGAAGCTGCCTCTGCACATGCTGGTTGATTTGGCCATGCAGCTTGCCAAGAGGTGAGGTCGAGGGGGTTGGTGGCTGTTTTATGATGCACTCCGGGGCAAGCAGGCTTTTGTGGTGAGCGCCCTCATCGGCACGGGAATGACTCTCAAGGAGTATGTCGCCCGCACTGCTAAGGAGAAGAGGAAGCTGCCTCTGCACATGCTGGTGGATCCAGCCATGCAGCTTGCTAAGAGGTGAGGTGCGATGAGGTGAGGGGGGTTGTTTTGTGCTGCACTCATCCCTCTGCGGGGCAATCAGGCGCGCGTTGTGAGCTCCCTCATCGGCACGGGAGTGACTCGCAAGGAGCATCTCACCCGCATCGCCTGTCAGGGAGAGGCACAAGTGCCTCTGCACATGCTGGTGGACCTGGCTATGCAGCTCGCCAAAGGTGGGGGGGGGGGGAGAGGGTGAGGGGGGGTTGATGTGCTTGTGGGCACGGGCATGGGGATGTTTTTGAGACGTCTCAAGGCACGGGCATGGGGATGTTTTTGAGACGTCTCAAGGCACGGGCATGGGGATGTGTTGTGTGCCCTGACCATATGCTGCTCGACTCCTCCTTGCGCCTGCACCTCATTCATGTTACCTTTTCCATTCTCCCATCCACCGTCCCTTTGCAACACCACACCAGCCTCGCCTTCCTACACTCCTTGAGGGTGGTGCACGGCGACGTGTGTCCCGACCGATCACGTGCTGCTCGACTCCTCTCTACGCCTGCACCTCACCCACCCACCCGTCCTCCTCTCCCCCAACCCACTCCCCCCTCACCCACAGTCTCGCCTTCCTGCACTCCCTGCGGGTGGTACACGCCGACGTGTGTCCCGATCACGTGCTTCTCGACTCCACCTTACGTCTGCACCTCGCGGGCTTCGCCTGTGCTTCTATCGAGGGAGACCTCGCATACAGTCACGCGGGCAGAGGGGAGGAGAGAGGCAATCCGAACTACATGGCTCCTGAGGTGAGCGGGACTGAGGTGAGCGGGACTGAGGTGAGCGGGACTGAGGCGAGAGGGACTGAGGCGAGCGGGACTGAGGTGAACAGGACTGAGGCGCGCGAGCATGTGCATGTTGTCCATGCTATCCCATCCCCATCTCCAACCCTCCCAACCTCACTTCCTCTCTCCCTTTTCTCTCTCATTGCCCTCACCTCCTCTCCCTTCCCATCAGGTGCTAAACTCCCTCCCATACGAGCGCTAGGCAGACGCATTAAGCTTTTATATGTGTCTGTGGGCCATGCTCTTCTGTGGGCCATGCTCTTCTGTGGGCCATGCTCTTCTGTGGGCCATGCTCTTCTGTGGGCCATGCTCTTCTGTGAGCCATGCTCTTCTGTGGGCCATGCTCTTCTGTGAGCCATGCTCTTCTGTGAGCCGCCCAAACGGACCCCCTCCCTCTCTTCCCTGCCTCACCCCTCAAATTCCCCTTTCCCCCAACGACCAGGTGCTCAACTCCCTTCCCTACGACCGCCGGGCAGACGTGTTCAGCTTCGGCATGTGCTTGTGGGCCATGCTCTCCTGTGAGCCGCCCTTTCCCAAGTGTGATTACAACGAGATCTCCGACCTTCTGCTGCAGGTATGGAATGAATGGTGACTACAACGAGACCCTTGACCATTACCATTACCATTATCATTACCATTACTAAAACCATTACCATTTCTATTACCATCACAATCAGAACTACCATTACCATTACCATTACTATTACCATTACCAAAACTAATACCATCACAATCAGAACTACCATTACCATTACCACTATCACTACCACTACCATTTCCATTACCATTACCATTACCGTTACAATTATTGTTACGATTACCGTTACCATTACCGTTAACATCACCGTTACCATTACCATTACCGTTACCATTACCGTTATCACTATCAGTACCACTACAATTACCACTACCATTACCATTATCATAACCATTACCGTTACTATTACTGTAATAATTATCATTACTATTACCATTATCATGACCAATACTATTACCATCACCATCAAAATTACCATTACTATTGCTATTACAATTACCATTGCCATTACCATTACCATTGACCTCTTGCCTGTTGCAGTTCGTGGAGATGTTTGAAAAGAGACATGGTTGAATCCTGCGACTGGCTTTACGTCCGATTTCCGTTAAACTCAGTTTTCCTTCATCTCTCCCTCCCCTTCCATGTCTCCATCATTTCCCCCTTGTGTTGCTCACTCCGCCCCTCCTCCTCCTATCTCCCCGCTGCTCCTCCATCCCCCAGGGCGTGCGCCCCATCATCTCCCCCAAGTGCCCTCCCGACTTGGCGCATGTGCTACGCTGCTGCTGGGAGGCCCCTTGCTCACCCCCTCGTCTTGCCCCCTCCCCACTCCCCCATCCCATGCAATTCTCCAGGGCGAGCGACCCATAATCTCCCCCAAGTGTCCCCCCGACTTGGCGCATGTGCTGTGCTGCTGCTGGGAGGCCCCTTGGTTCAACCCGGCCCCCTCCCTTCTCCCCTTCCCCTCTCCCCCCATGCAATTCCCCAGGGCGTGCGCCCCATCATCTCCCCCAAGTGCCCCCCTGACTTGGCGCATGTGCTGCGCTGCTGCTGGGAGGGCGCCCCTGCATCACGCCCCTCCATGCCGCAAGTCATCACCCTGCTGCGCTCACTCAACGTCTTTGCCTCCCGCCAAGACCACCCTGCAAGGGATGCTAGGCCGGGGGAATCTGGTGCAGGTAATGCTGGCCTTTCTACCAGCACCAGCACCACCGGCAGCAGAAACAGCAGGAGTAGCAGCAGCAGCAGCATCAGCAGCAGCAGCAGCAGCAGCAGCAAGCAGGCTGGTGGGTTGAGGGGTGGTGCGGATGAGAATAGCGCTGCTGTTAATCGCAGTACGAGTGAGCAGGGAGGGGGCAAGGCATCTCTCCTCTCCGCCCTGAGCTCTTCCATTGGCCGCTTCAGCTTCTCACGCGGGAAAGGCGCACGGCTGAGCCTCCCTCCTGCTTTATCAGCAGCATCAGCATCCGCATCAACATCAGCATCAGCATCCGCATCAACATCAGCATCAGCATCAGCAACGGCGTTGCCATTGCCATTACCAGCGTCAGCATCAACGCCGGCTTCTGTTCCACTAGCACGGGCATCATCAGCACCAGCAACAGCTGGTGAGGTGCCTCAAAAGACACTACCAGTGTCAGTACCAGTATCAGCATCAATATCAACATCAGCATTGGCATCAGCATCAGCAGCATCAGTGGCGCCGGCAGCAGCAGCAGCTGCAGCTGCTGTTGTGGCAGCGTCAGGGGAGGAAGAGGCGGTGAGAGAACCAGCAGGGAGAGGCGCCGCGTTTGTTGCTGCAACTGCAGGGAAGAGCATTGGTTTAAACGGCACGGGTGGTACAGTAACGACAGAGGGTCGCTCTGTAGAGAGTACAGCTCAATCTGGCTCCCTAGACCATGATTCTGCTGCCGACGCTAGTGAAGGGATTGCAGAGGGCAAGAGCGATATGCGGCAACAACTAGCCTCCTCTGAGCCAACCTCCACTTCTCCCCACCTAAGCGCTCCCCCTCTCCGTCTCATACCGCCCTCCACTCGTCCAAACAATCCACCCTCACTTATTCCTCCCGCATTCCTCCCCCCCCACACTACCACCCCCGCCTCCCTGCCTTCCCCTTCCTCCTCCCCTCTTCACTGCTCCCTCCCACCCCCCTCTCCACACCCATCCTCCCCTTCTCGCTCCTCTCACCCCTCCCCTCCCGCCTCCTTCACCCCCTCCTCGCCCTCTGCTGCTGCGCCTGCTAGCCCATCCGTATCAGCAGCAGCATCAGGTGCTGCTGCTATCAGTACGGAAGGTGTGGTGGCCAGAGGGTATGCCATAGCAGGTCGGGTTGCTGGTGCTAACCCTGCTGCTGCTGCCGCTGCCGCTGCCGCTGCCACTGCGAATTCCGACACAAATCCCGAGACTAGTCCCGAGGCTAGCACCGGTGCTAGCACCGGGTGCGTGGGATGGGAAGGAGGTTCTGCAGCAGATAGTATCAGCCCCGTTGGCAGTGCTCGCAGCATTGGGTGGGAGGCAGGGGGGGGGATAACCGGCACTGGGAATGCCAGCCCAGCAGGGAGCATGGGGAGCATGAGGAGTGTGGGTTGGGAGGGGGAGCTGATGTCTCCTGCGTGGAGTGGGGAGGCGGGGCAGGCGTGGGTTGGGGAGCGGCCGGTGTGGGAGATCAAGCTGAGGAACGTTATTTTAAAGAAAGAGATTGCTAAGGGGTCGTCTGGGATTGTGTACAAGGGCAAATACAAGGACTGCCCCGTTGCAGGTATGAGCCATCTCCTCCTCACCTTTTGAACTGATTAAAAGGCTCCTGGAACCGGAATGTAACTCAAGACGTCTCAAAGCTCTTCTCCTTCTCCCTTCCCCTGCCATGCACACTCACACACACCACACACACTCACACACACCACACACACTCACACACACCACACACACCACACTCACACACACCACACTCACACACACCACACTCACACACACCGCACTCACACACACCACACTCACACACGCCACACACACCACACTCACACACACCACACACACTCACACACACCACACACACCACACACACCTCACTCACACACACCACACTCATCCAAACGACCTACCACTGTGACTGGTACATAGTTGAGTTAAGACGTGTCAAAGCTCTTCTCACTTTCCCCCCCACCTTTCACACTCACACCTTTCAAAGCTCATCCAAACAGGCTACCACTGTGACTGGTACACGGTCGAGTTACAGTGTAGGTGTGCGCGTCAAATCTCTTCTCACATTCCCCCCCACCTTTCACACTCACACCTGCACGCACCACCAGTGCGCGTGGTGCCTTGGAGCAAGGTGGAAGGGGAGATGTCCGAGGGGGAGCAATAAGAGAACTGAGTGGTGCATGGAAGAGTTACAACGTCTCGAAAATCTTCACCCTCTCTCTCCCCCTCTTCCCATGCACCACCAGTGCGGGTGGTGCCTTGGAGCGAGGTGGAAGGGGAGATGTCCGAGGGGGAGCAGTGGGAGCAGAGGAGGGCCAAGTTCCTAAGGGAAGTGACTATATGGAGGCGGCTCAAACACCCCAATATAGTCAAGGTGAAACCCACATGTCCCATCTACCGACACGCCTCAGAAGATTCTCCTCACGCTACATCCACCTTCCCTTTCTTCTCATGGGAATCCAGATGGTTTTCTGTGCTGGGAGGGATGGATGAGTACTCCCGTTGTTCATCCCTCCATCCCTCCATCCCTTCATCCCTCCTCCCAGCACATCCATCCGTCCTGTTGCCCATGCACGTCACTCTGTTGGGGCACCGTCGTCGCCTTAGCACCCTCAAATCCGTCCGCAGTTGAGACCCTCCGAGCGTCGTCTATCCCGGCTGCCCTGCTGCCCTATATCTGCAGCACATATAACCGGAGTCTCTTTTTGAGACGCCTCAAAAACAGGCACCTTCACCCTCGCATCGGCCTTCAGTTGATACTCTCCAAGCGTCGCATATCCCTCTCCTGTGTGTATCCCTCCCCTCCCCGTGTTCCTGCCCTTCAGTTCATCGGAGCATCAATCCCCGAGCACCCTCAACTGCCGACCACCCCCACTAGCGCTGCCACTAGTAGCGCTGCTGATGGAAAGGACAAGGAAAAAGGTGCTGACAGGGAGAAAGGGGCGGACAGGGAGAAAGGGGCGGACAGGGAGAAAGGTGCGGACAGGGCGGATACACGATTCAAGGGGCATGCGTTCTGTGTGGTGATGGAGCACGTGGAACACTGCAGCCTCAAGGAATATCTTTTCCGGGCAGCCCGCGAGCGAAGGAAGCTGCCGATGCCGTTCATTGTGCAAGTGGCAGTTGATCTCGGCAAGGGGTGAGTGAGTGAGTTAGTGAGTGAGTGAGTTAGTGAGTGAGTGAGTGAGTGAGCGAGTGAGTGAGTGAGTGAGTGCCATCAAGGAAGGAACAGTGATTGGTCACCTGTTGTGCGCGCCACCTGTTGTGCGCGTCACCTGTTGTGCGCGTCACCTGCTGTGCCCGTCACCTGCTGTGCGCGTCACCTCGTTGAGTATTGAGGCATCGGAACAAGTGGCAGTTAATCTCAGCTAGGGGTGAGTGAGTGCAAGCAGAGACACGATTGCAGTTGATTTACCCCTCTGCTCCCCACAGAAGCCCCGGTTTGAGGCATCTCTGAACGAGGGGTAGTCGATCTGTCAAAGGGTGAGTGAGTGCAACCAGTCAAAGGGTGAGTGAGTGCAACCAGTCAAAGGGTGAGTGAGTGCAATGAGGGTTGATTACTCCTCACTTCTCGCCATCCTTCTTCACCCTAGCCCTACCCTCTCCCCTGTTGTCCGCCGTCCCCCTCTCTCCTTCCCTTCTCCCCTCAACTCTCGTTGCCAGCCTGGCGTATCTGCACTCCATGGGCATGGTGCATGGCGGCATTTATTCGTAAAACGCGCTCCTTACTCCCTTCACTCACTCCCCTCCCCCCTCGACCCTGGCCCCCCCCATTCTGCCAGCCTGGCGTATCTGCACTCCATGGGCGTGGTGCACGGCGACATTTGTCCTGAGAACCTCCTTCTGGACGGCAAGCGCCGCCTCAAGATCGCAAGATTCGGGGCGGCGCGTGTGGAGGCGTCTCACCCAGTCAGCACTGCCACTGGCAGCTGCCGCCGCACCCTCAGCTACAGCGCGCCAGAGGTAATACCCCTCCCACACCCTCCTTTTTCTCATCCCACCCAGTCAGACCGCCACTGGCAGCTGCCGCCGCACCCTCAGCTACAGCGCGCCTGAGGTATATTCAGATTGAGTGTGAGACTTTTCAACAGCTGCAGGCGCAGCCACAGCTCCCTGAAGTAGCCCCCTCCCCACCCACCACCCCTCTGTCACCCACTAGCCAACTCGTCACACCCAGTCAACACCGCCACTGGCAGCTGCAGGGAACCCTCAGGTACAGCGCCCCTGAGGTATTTTACTTTTCAAGGGTCTCAGAGCTGCCAGCGAATCTCAGCCTACAGTGCCTGAGAGCCTCTGAGGTGATTCTGCCGTTCCTTCTGTTGCCTACAGCTCTGCCATCTGTGTATATGTGCAGAGCTGTAATGACACCCTTCTGAGGTGCAATGACACCCTCCCCCCCCCCCCCTCTCCCCTTTTCCACACCTTCCCCCACCTTCCCCCACCTTTCCTGACCATCCGACACCCCCCCAGGTGCTCTTCTCCCAGTCCTACGACCGCCCTGCTGACGTGTACAGCTTCAGCATCTGCCCCCGTGTGGAGTGACATGCCCCCCTACCGTTGCTCGTGACGTGTTACCCCCCTCTCACCCGAAACCCCCCCAGGTGCTCTTCTCGCAGCCCTACGACCGCTCTGCTGACGTCTACAGCTTCGGCATCTGCCTGTGGGAGCTCTATGCCCGGGAGGCGCCGTTCCTGAACCTAGACTTTGGGGAAGTGGCCGATGCTGTCAAGGAGGTAAGGGATGGGAGGGTCAGTCGGGTGGGGAGAAGCAGTGTAGGCTGAAGGGGATAGGGATGGAGATGGATGGGGGTGTTTTTGCTTTTTCCGCTGTGGGAGCAGTCAGTTGGGAAAGGCACCGACTTGAAGTGAGACGTTGGAGGGATGGCCATTTGCCTATGCTTGCTATCCTTACAAACTACTTCACTGTGCATCCCTTTGGTTCTAGAACTTCCGTTCATCAGTGCCTAGTGTGCGATCCCCATTCCCACTCCCACCCTCTCCTCCCTCCTACAGGGCTCACGCCCCATTATATCCCCCAAGTGCCCCCCTGACTTGGCCAATGTTATGCGTTGCTGCTGGGAAGGTCTCCCTACTGCTCGCCCTTCGATGCCCCAAGTTCTTGCAATGCTGCAGAAGGTGAATGTCTTTGCGGGTAAATAAGACATGCCTTCTATTATTTGTATCATGTATTGGTATCTGTAGCTGCTCACTGCCTAAGTAAAAAGCTCACACCAAGGTGAGCATAATGTCTTAGAATAATGTCTTATTGCAATCTGCTAGAAAACCACCACCTTAATTCACTAATTTGTTCGTAATGCTAATACCGCGGACGGACTGCGCTGGCCTCGAGATTTCCGCGAGTGCTGACCTGTCTGCAGCCATGGTGCGGCGCTTTTTCCTCGCCTCGCTGGATGCGAAAGGTAATGGCAAGATGCTTTGATTTCCTCGGAAATTCCGCTCATTTCATGGGATGGGGCCATCTCCAACCGAATTTTTCCAGGACCCTGGGCCGGGACTGGTCATTGGACATTGGAACTGCTCGCTGGTTGGTCATTGGCTCTCAGCTTCTCCTACAGCCAGTTCGCGACATTTTAGGGTTCCCAGACCTTGTCCATTGAGCGTCTAGCGCGGTTCAGAAGGTTTCCACACGGTACGACTTGTAACTGCTCTTGACCGTATTGCACCGTACAGAACCGTGTCAAAAGAACAGAAATAACCGTCCGTCACAAAGCCAGCCAGACTTCCAAATTCACCCAGTCGTCCCCTGCATCTCTGCGGGGAGGTATTCTCTGTGTGCCAAGTGCATTGCATTTCGTTATGAAATCTTGGGCGAGATGCAATGCAATGCAGTTCTTTCAGAAGCTGACTATTCCAGCTCAATTGAGGCAGGTCTCTTCAGTGTTGACTAGGTGTTATTCAGTGAATCTCGAGCCAGGAGGCCGACACGATCATGTGGTTATTTATCCTGTCCTATCTCGTGCAACTGTAAGTAACAGATTCAGCCATTTTACTTATTTCAATTTTCCCAAATTCATCTTCTCTACAGGTTGTCAGGCTCTGACAAATATTAAGGAACAAGGAAATTCATAGTGAACGGCATAAGTGTCCTTAGATAAAGCCACCCTACAATACGGTCTTTCTTAGGTGGTGCATTCGCGGCGTAGCTCTTGTGAAATCAATTACCAGGAAGCCCTGCGTTGCGTTCTGGCAGCAGCTGCACAGCGAACGCTAACTCCACGCACACTTCAGTTGGCGACTGTCAAGCTCGTTGTTGTCATCCGCAGCACCTCGATACCTGCACGCGTCGGTCACACGTGAGAAATTGGAACGTCGTCAATCGCGGACGGACGCGCACGTATTGAAGCGTCTCGGAAACGCGCGCACGCGCGCAAGCGATGGCGGAGCTGCACGACGCTTCGTCCCTAAGCGCAGGCCACGTGTTTCGATTTTCACAATCATCCGAATCAACAGTCTCCGCGCAACCATCAGACACGGCCACAGGAATCGCAGACTTCGACGGAGAGCTGCTAAGAGTGCGAACCGACCCGTCCAATGGCGTCAAAGACGAAACGAGCAAGCGCGACGCTGGGAATTCCTTTCTGGGTAGGTCGTATTCGGTGCAGGTGGGACGCGGCGGTCAGGCGGAATCAGGAGAAGCAGGGGGAGCAGGCGGAAGGAGGCGGCGTTCGGAGAGCTCCTCCGTGGGGGTGAACATCGCCGCACTGGATAAGGCGCTGGACCGAGTCATGTCCATGCCGTGGCGCGGCGAGAAGAAGGCGGGCGACGGCGACGGCGACGGAGGCCTGGGATTGGGCGCGGCGTGGCAGGAGAAAGCGGAGAAGAACGGGAAGCATGTGCTGGGTAGGGCACGTTCTCATGGAAACGGGGAGGGGGATTCTGTTCGTGCTGCCGCTGCGGCGGCCGTTGCTGCCATCCGCAGTGATGGTGACGTGGTGCCTTTTGCTAATAATGTCTCGGGTGTGCCGCTGAACAAGTGTGGTAAGGAAGCGGGTGCGAAGGACGGGACGAATAAGGAGCGGTCTGCGGAGGTGGAAGTGGGTACAGATGGGCGGAGGGGCGCAGGCGATGTCGCAATAGCAGGCGACCCCGCGTGGCAGGTTGATTTGCGGCGTGTGACTTTAAAGAAAGAGATTTGCAGGGGCGCGTACAGCACGGTGTATAAGGGCGCGTTCAGGGACATGGATGTTGCCGGTATGCACAATTTCTCCTCCCGACGCCCATTTCTCCCCCGCGACGCCCGTTTTTTCCCTTCCCTCTGCTTTCCCCGTGCCACCCCCCACTCGCCAAGTCACCCCTCATCTCACCCCACGTCATTCGCACTCCACCTGTCCCCCCTAGATTCGCTGTTGGAAGTTGTTCAATTGCATATCTTACTGCTGACCGCTGGCTCCATTGGTGTTACTTTTGCATTGCTGATTCTCAAAAGTAACACCAGTATCGCTGGCTCCGTTGGCTCAAAAGTAACACCAGTATCGCTGGCTCCGTTGGCTCAAAAGTAACACCAGTATCGCTGGCTCTTGCATCCTGCTGCCTGCCTGCTGCCCTGTCTCATACTCCTTTCTCGCCCCATTCCCTCTCGCTCTCTACCGACTTCCCTCAACCGTGGTTATGTTTCCTCATAACACTGCCTTTCTCTCTCCGCCACCCTCCCCGCGAATGCGTGCAGTGAAGGCAATCGACTGGGGCGAAGCGGGGTCGTTCTCGCCGGTGCTGCGCGCCAAGCAGAGAGCCACTCTGCTGCGCCAGGTGCACGTGTGGCGAGGCCTCAAGCACCCCTACGTGACTCAGGTGAGCCAGCGTCAACCCGGGAGTCAGCTCGGCAGGTGCGAAGCAGGGGCGAAGAAACGCCTTTCACCCAAGCCAGCTGACAGGAATTGTCAACGTGAGTCCGGGACCCGGGCTGCCATCAGACTCTTCCTGTGTCCAGCCGCTCTTATATCCAAGATCCTTTCAGGCAGAAAATATGAAACATTGAAATGGCTTACAAATACAGGCGAAACTGGGGCGAGCACATTGAAGCATACCTATGAGATGGAAGTAGAACAGGAGTGCCCTCCCACGCCCTCCCCTCCCACGCCCTCTCCTCCCACGCCCTCTCCTCCCACGCCCTCCCCTCCCACGCCCTCCCCTCCCACGCCCTCCCCTCCCATCCCCTCTTTCCCCACCCCCATGCCTGCACGTCCAGCTGGTAGCAGCGAGCGTGTCAGCGGACTGTGCGCCCTGCACCACCCCCCGCGGCGTGGACGCGCGTTTGCGCGGCGTGGCGGGGTGCCTCATCATGGAGTATGTGGGCGATCTGACTGTCAAGGAGTATCTGGCCCGTGCTGCCAGGGAGAGGAGAAAGCTGCCGCTGCACATGCTGGTGGAGCTGGCGTTGCAGCTCGCCAAGGGGTGAGTGATTGCGGGGGGGATCTATATCGGTTGCATCTGGGAACTCCTGAGGCGCGTGGTGGGGTGTCTCATCATGGAGTATGTGGGCGACCTGACGCTCAAGGATTGTCTCGCTCGCGCCGCCAGGGAGCGCAGAAAGCTGCCTCTGCACATGCTGGTGGAGCTGGCCTTGCAGCTCGCCAAGGGGTGAGTGAGTGAGGAGGTTGAAGGGAAGGGGGGGAGAAGTGTGGTAGAGGTTTGTGTTTCACTTGAGTGGGCGGGTCGATATGCAGTCAGTATCCAAGCACACCCACACCCACCAACCAACCCCTTCCGCACTTACCCACCAGTGTGGCCCACATCCACAGCAGCGGTGTGGCCCACGGGGACGTGTGTCCGGACAACCTGCTCCGCACGGACCGCAGCCGCCTCCTCCCTCCCTATTCATCCCCCTCTTCCTAACCCCAAACACCACCTCCCCCTTCCCCCCTTCAGTCTGGCCTACATCCACAGCAGCGGTGTGGTGCATGGAGACGTGTGCCCCGACAACCTGCTCCTCACGGACTATGTCACCTCCTCCCTTCCCTCCCATCCGCCATTTCTCATCCCTCCTCCCCCCCTCAGTCTTGCCAACATCCACAGCAGCGGTGTGGTGCACGGGGACGTGCGTCCCGATAACCTGCTGCGCACGGATCACGTCACCTCTTCACTCCTGTCTCACCCCCCCCCCTCTTCTCCCACCCACCCACCAGTCTGGCCTACATCCACAGCAGCGGTGTGGTGCACGGGGACGTGTGCCCCGACAACCTCCTCCTCACGGATCGCAGGCGCCTCAAGATCGCCGGCTTTGGCGTCGCGCGCTTCGAAGGCGACTGCCAGGCTCGTGGCCGTGGGGGCGCCCAGCGCTGTGACAACTCTGGCTCTGCTGGGGTTCTTGGGGATTCTCAAGAACAAACCGGGGTCGCTGGGAGCGAGGCAGGGGCAGGGGCAGGGGCAGGGGTGGCGGGGGCAGAGGTAGGGGGAAGGGGGGGTGATGAGGCTGTTGGACAGCAGCCACAAGACGTGCTGCAGGGAGAGGACCTGCAGGATTCGGCTCGGAATGGTGAAGGGGAGGAGAGGCGTGGAGTAGGGCGGGATGTGGAGGTCGGGAGACGCGAGGCAGGAGAGGCGAGAGGGGGCGGAGGAGCAGCAGGAGGGGCGGAGGAGGGTGTGGTGACGGGGGGTGAGAAAGGAGGGGAGGCGGCGGGGGGGTGGTTGCCTCATGACGCCAGTGGGGAGACGGGCTCAGTGGGATACATGGCTCCTGAGGTGCGTTGCTTGTGTGTGCTGATAACTGGTAGATTGAAGGTGCGCTGCTTGCATGTGGTGATAACATGTAGATTGAAGGCTTTTGAGTCGACTCAAAACGTGGCCTCATGATGCCAGTGGGGAGACGGGCTCAGTGGGATACATGGCTCCTGAGGTGCGTTGCTTGTGTGTGCTGATAACTGGTAGATTGAAGGTGCGCTGCTTGCATGTGGTGATAACATGTAGATTGAAGGCTTTTGAGTCGACTCAAAACGTTGCCTCATGACGCCAGTGGGGAGACGGGCTCAGTGGGATACATGGCTCCTGAGGTGCGTTGCTTTTGCTGGTTTAAGGTAGATACAGGCAGATACAGGCAGATACAGGCAGATATCAGCAAATGTGAGTGCACTGGCGTGAACAGCTTTACCATGTGCCCATGGGAGCTGCTTACCCATGCGGACGTGTACTGCTTTGCTATTTGTCAATGACGGGTGCTGACCTCTGCACTGTGATCTGACTGTTCCCCCTCCCTCCCTCAGGTTCTGGCTGGACTGCCATACGACCGCCGTGCTGACGTGTACAGCTTTGGCATCTGCCTGTGGGAGCTGCTGACCTGCGAGACCCCCTTTGACTCGTTTGACTTCAGCGAAATGGCTTCTGCCATCAGTGAGGTGAGGACCTTTGAGATGCCTCGGGAGGAGGCTGCTGACCTGCGAGAATCTGTTTGACTCGTTTGACTTGAGTACTATGCCCTCCGCCATCCGTGAGGTGAGTCTTTCTGTGCTGCTTGCATGACGCATGAGGCATGGCAGATTTTACACGGCACATGGCACATGGCACACGGCACACGGCACACGGCACATGGCACACGGCACACGGCACATGGCACATGGCACATGGCACACGGCACACGGCACAAGGCACATGGCACATGGCACATGGCACATGGCACACGGCACATGGCACATCGCGCATGGCGCATGGCACATCAGTCCCATCTTCTCGTTATTCCTCTCTCACCTCCTCCTCCATTACTTTTCTCAACTCCGCCTCTCCACAATCCTCCAGGGAGTGTGCTGCACCTTCCCCTCGAGTGCCCCAACAGGGGAAGTCAGTAGGGAATCGTGTTGTTCACTCCCCCCGCCTCCCCCTTGGCTTCCCCACACCACACCAATTGAGGCAACCCACCCAATTGGGCCTGTGCCACATCAACCTCTCCTCCGTTCCCCCACCTTGCCCTCATCTGGCGTGTGTCATGTGCTGCTGGGAAGATCCTTGGTTTCTTCCTTCCTCCCATTCTCCCCTCCTCCCCACCTCCTCTTACTTACCCCATCCCATCCTACCAGGGCGTGCGCCCCATCTTGCCCCACAAGTGCCCCCTTGACTTGGCACGAGTCATGCGGTGCTGCTGGGAGGGCTCCTCACCTTCCCCGCTTTTCATCCTTCCTCCCCTCATCCCATCCTACCAGGGCGTGCGCCCCATCTTGCCCCACAAGTGTCCTCCTGACATCGCACGAGTCATGCGGTGCTGCTGGGAGGGATCCTCTGCTGCGCGCCCCTCCATGCCGCAAGTCATTGCTATGCTTGAAAAGGTCAATGTGTTCAGTGGGAAAGAGATTCCAGTGCACAACATTTGAGTGAGCTGCTTTCGAGAGCTTTTGAGAGGTGCAACATTTGAGCTGCTTGTGAGGAGGCTAGAATGCCCCTCCATGCCGCAAGTCATTGCCATGCTTGACAAGGTCAATGTGTTCAGCACAGGAAAGAAATCCCTGTGCACAACATCTGATCTAAGGAGCTTTTGAGAGGGCTTACACTCAAATGCCCGTCCATGCCGCCAGTCATTGCCGTGCCGTGCGCGACATTTGAGCTGCTTTTGAATGGTGCACAACATTTGAGTTGCTTTGGGGAAGGCTCGAACACCCCCCCATGCCACAAGTCATTGCCATGCTTGACAAGGTCAATGTGTTCGACGGCTATAATACGATAGGCATGATTTGTTAGTGTGTTGAAAGCAAAATTACAAGCAGCTACACTGGGTACAATTGCAGTGCCTAAACCAACTCCTTAATTGCAATTCATTTGAGTTCAAAACAACCTATTCAAACACAAACATGCCCTTTTTTCTCCCACTAAAACCATACCACGTCTCAAACAACCTACTCAGCTTCACCCCGTTCACACTTCTCAGGAACCAAGCAACACTGAACAGTGTAGTGTGCACAGATCGTGGCGCCAAAAACACTCCCAAATTCCTGTTTCTGCGCGCCGCTACCGCCAGTCGATTATACACGGTATATCCCACTGAAAACACCGCATCAAGCTCTTGCCGTGAACAAAAATTCTGCCTCCACCGTACATTATCCCATGTGCGCTCCCGTGCCAGTACACTTGCCCTTTGCCGTAATATCTGCCCGTCGAGGCACCTTTGCGAGTACAATAGATCCTCGCTAGGGAGCTGCTGCTCGTACTGTATAAAGCGCCAGTCGAAGAAGGAATGGAAGAGGAAGAGCGGTGTGGAGACCTGTGCAAGGGTGTGCTCTGGGAAGAAACAGACCCAGTTGTCTCTTGTTTGCGCTCCTGGATGGGGCCAGGAGCAAGGGCAGGAGGGAGCAAGGGCGGGAGGGAGCAAGGGCGGGAGGAAGGGGAGCAAGCTTGTGTGTAATGGGAAGAAGCAGACCCAGTTGTCCCTCACTTGTGCTCCTGAGGAGGGCGAGAGGAAGGGGGATAAGGGGAGCAAGGGGTGGGGAGAGGGGAGCAAGGGGTGGGGAGAGGGGAGCAAGGGGTGGGGAGAGGGGAGCAAGGGGTGGGGAGAGGGGAGCAAGGGGTGGGGAGAGGGGAGCAAGGGGTGGGGAGAGGGGAGCAAGGGGTGGGGAGAGGGGAGCAAGTGACCCAGTGTTCGGGGAAGGAGCAGACCCAGTTGTCCCTCACTTGTGCTCCTGAGAGGGTGGGAACAGGGGGAGCAGAGGAGGGAAGAGACGCAGGGGAAGTGGGGTGGTAGGGGAGAAGGAAAAAGATGATGACCCAGAGTTTGGGGAAGCAGCAGGCCCAGTTGTCTCGTCTCTAACTTGGGAGGGAACGGAGGAGAGAGAAAGAGACCCTTGTGTATTGGTTCGGAAGAGGCAAATGAGGAATGCGTACTGACATGACACATGCCTCTCTTTTGACTTTTGAGGCGCCTCAAAAGAGGCAAATGAGGAATGCGTACTGACATGACACATGCCTCTCTTTTGGAAGAACGAGAGGAGACTCCAAGGGAGTGGGCAAGTCAAATACCTCCCACCCACCCACCCACCCACCCACCCATCGCCATTGCAAACGCACAAGACTTATGAGACGTCTCAGAATACAGAAGAACCAGAGAAGACTTTAAGGGATTGGGGTTGTTGTAACCTGGTGGAGTGCCAAACCTGGTGACTTATGAGTTGATTCGACTCAGAAGTCATTTTGAGTCGACTCAAAAGGCTTCAAGGGACACGGCATGTTATAACCTGGTGGAGTGCCAATCCTGTTTTCACCTGCTAAGTTGTCTCCTATGCTGTTCTGTTTGCACCATGTAGGTAGTATTTTTGTGCTGATTTCACCTGCAGGGCATTTGGGGACTTCAATGCGGTGCAGAGCGGTGAGCAGCCGGATGTATTCCCGCCATGAGTACACCCCAAAGCGGTCCTTGGCATCTGCAGTGGACGGGGAAGGAAAGAGGGAGGAAAGGGGGAGGAGGGGAGGGGGAGGTGGGGGAGAGGGGGGAAGAGGGGGGAAGAGGGGAGGAAGAAAGGGGGAGGGAGCATGCCACGGCTACTTTTTTCTTAGCTCTAAACCAATGAAGAAGCCAAAAGTCAAACAGCGCAGGAAACTCAAGAGCAAAACAGAGCGCTCACCAGGAGAATCAGAGTGCTGAGGCAGCAACACCCTGCGCTCACCTTTGAGTCAATGAGCACTTTTGAGACGTCCCAAAAGGCGCTCACCAGGAAAATCACAGCGCCGAGCAGCAACAAAATCACAGCGCCGAGCAGCAACAAAATCACAGCGCCGAGCAGCAACAACATCACAGCGCTGAGCAGCAACAAAATCACAGCGCCGAGCAGCACAAGCCTGCGCTCACCGCTATTTAATGAGCACGCTCACCAACAAAGAAGCCCGAGTCAGCAAAGCACTTGGAGGAGGCGCGGGGGAAGGCGGCAGCGAGGCGGTCGCAGTGCATGATGATGGCATGGCCGCCCGCTGAGCTGCCCGAGAAGAGCACATGCGACGCCGCCCCCATGCCCTGCCGAGTGCGCAGATCTGGAAGGATTGATGGGGTCATAGGGAGGTGGAGAGGGGTGGGAGGCGGTTGACATCAGAATGGTATGGGCGCCAGCAGAGCTGCCGGAAAATAGAACGTGCGACGTTGCCCCCATGCCCCCCCACCCCATTCCCCACTCCTTATCCTCCCCTCTCCCTCCTCACCAGTGATAATATCGTCCAGAATCTGCCGTCCCTGCATGTACACAGATGCGCCCTCCCCCAGGTCCGCCCTCCCCCGCGTGCTGCTGTAGGCGCCGCCGTCACAGTACACCACCCACACCAGGTTCCACGCGTGGAACACCGGGTTGGCTGCACTGTCCTGTGATAGAAGGCCACCCAACTGTGGGTATTCCTCGGACGCCTGGTACGGGAGAGGAGAAGGTGAGTGGGAAAAGAGAGGGTAGGAGAGTGAGAGTGAGTGGAAGTTAGAGTGGTGGGCTGCGCTGTCCCACGATGGGAGCCCACACAGTCGTGGGTATTCCTCGGATGCCTGGTGGGGGGAAAGAGAGGGAGGAGGGCAAGTGGGAGCAGACTTTTGAGTCGACTCGCCACCCACACCAGGCTCCTTGAGTGGAACACTGGGTTGGCTACGCCAGCTTGGGATGATTGGCCGCCCAACCATGGGTATTCGGGGAAGAGAGAGGAGAGGGAGAGTGGGGAAGAGGGGAGGGGATAGGAGAGGGAGGAGTAAGAGAGGGTCGGAGAGAGTGAGTGAGAGGGGGAGGAGTTGGCTGCACTGTCCTGGGAAAGGAGCCGCCTAGCTGCGGATAGGACTCGTATGAATGGGGAGAAGAGGAGGGGGTGGAGAGATGGGGAAGAGAACGGGGGGATGTGTCAGTCACGCTGCTGATTCTTCCGCCGTTTTCAGCGACGGCGGGGAGGCGTCTAGCCGGGGGAAGAAGAGCCGGGGAGTGCGAAATAGAGGGAGTGGGCAGGGCGGGGAAGAACTCCACTCACGTTGTTGATTCTTCCGCCGTTTTCAATGACGGCGGGGAGGCGTGTCGCCCAGAAGCGCGAGGAACCGAGCGGGGAGTTGGCGCGATCGCGGCACTCCCCCGGGGAGAAGCACCATCCGCCCGTGGGGAGATGCACGTGCCACTTGCGTCTCCCCGCGCCCGCCCCCGCGCGGAAGTAGTACGCGGGGGGACTGGGCGGCGGGAAGTGGATGGGGAGGGAGGGGGAGAGAGGAGGGGTTGGGAAAGGGAGGGAACGGGAGGGAGGTGGAAGAAAGGAAGGGCGAGGAAATGAATAAGAAGGATGTGGGAGAGGAGGGGAAGGGAGACGACGGAGGCAACGGCCATAGGACCTAAAAATGTCCAATCACCCTTCTGTCTAGCTTCGACCCCCGGTTTTCTAGCTTCCGTCCATTGTTAAAAATGTCCGATACGCACCTCCCGTCGAGGCATTTTGAGCTGTACGCGTTACTAGGTAGGAAAACGAGGCGTGTGGCGGATTTGAATCGGCTCGCTCGCTGCGCCCCGCAAGGGGGGGAGAGGGATAGCGCGAGGAGGAGCGCGGGCAGCAGCGGGAGGACTCTTCGTAAGCGGGAGAAAGCGGGGACGGCGGCGAGCAACATGACCGCCGCGGAGATCGGCGACGAGATCGCCGAGAAGGGTTATTTCTTTGAGACGAATAAAAAAACGAAGTGATCGCGGAGTAGCCACGTGAAGCGAGGTTGTTTTTGAGACGTCTCAGAGACGAATAAAAAAACGAAGTGATCACGGAGGACGAGTTTCCCTAAAAATGTGGCGCCGTTTATTGAAGCGCTTGGACTTCCGAGGTCCAACCCGACGCGTGATTGGTCGCAACAAGGTCAAACGGGTCAAATTAAGTCATGTGGGTCAAGGGAGTCAAGCGAAGAACTCCTTCGCGTCGAGCCGATGCGAGAGGAGAATTTGACAATAGCTCTCTCTCATCGCGTTCACGCCGATCCCGCGTTTCCGCTGTGCCAGATTAGTCTGGCCGAGTGTTATTGAGTGAAATGCCTCGCGTTCTAGCGCGGATCGATGCTTTGCGTTTCAAAAAATATTGGAATAAAGGACCAACGGTCTCGATTACTACGATCGCCGCAGCTACCGTGCCCCTGTATGCCGAGGCGAGTAATTCGGCGAAGTGGCGAAATAACAACGGAAAATGGAGCAGCAGAAGCAGAGGGCGGCGAACGAAAGCCGCTATGTTGAAGAGACAGTGGAAGGTAGGGGAAGTTGTTAAGGGAGGGAGGGATATGTTGTTTAGTGGGGAGGGGAGGGAGATGGAACGAGACGGTACAGAAGGGGAGGTTCGATAACACCAAAACTCCTCCAGGTCTTGTTGGTTTGAGAAGGTTAGGGATGGGTGGGGTTAGGTATTATCGTCACTAAATGCGGGAGGGGTGGAATGTGCGGAGATGCTACAGAGACCCATGAGGGCGACGTCAGGTTATACAACTTTTTGTACGCCCACTGCGGTTAACTTTGTTTCAACACGGTGCAGAGAGGTTAACGTCGAGAACCGCTTTCCACCGTGTTTGACCGTCCTGAATAACGATACAAGAACTGCAAACACATGAGAAATGTATAACCTGACGTCGCCCTGAGCATTCTGTACATTTGCATCCGCGGCTCGTAAATGGCGGACCGACATGTACAGTGGTTTTTTCCAGTTGGAGTTGGAGTTGGATTTTTTGCCCTTTTTGCATGAAACGTGAAGTTTCATTTCTAATAGTGTCGATACCACTTCTCACGAAAGCAGGTCGTGGATGCTGGCGATTCTGTAGTACTTGGAACTCGCAGAAAAGCGAAGGAAAACGTGGTGGTAGGAAGAACACGACTCGATCCAAGTCAGGTTTGCAATCAACCTGCCCGAGCATCAACAAGCATTTGCAGTCGAGGGCGGTGCGACAAAATTTCGATACTGGCGCATAGTGACTGAACGCACTGATATTGTGAAAAGGGCCTCAATCAGGCTTCACATACAGGTTGAGGGGGGGTCCAGCTCGTACATTTACTGTTCGTAAACCCCCTCAGTTACCACATTTTTTGTGGTAACCCTTTACTGAACGTGTCCAGCGGACACAATCAGCTTCTGTTCGCAAGACGGCACGCCCCATGCACGTACCTAGAGTCGTCTGACTCACGCTACTGAAATCAGCAGGGACGCGAACAAGGGTACAGCACCGCATCCTGGCCACTACAGTTCGTTTCCCTTGTATCGCTTGCACAATTTCGTCAGTAATTCGCCCTACTCGCCAGCGCCCCCTGCGCCTGCACACAAATTTTCAAGCTATGATTGACGAGGGAAACTGTTACCTCGTTTTCAACGTGGTCAGAGCACTGTTGATTCGTGTGGCGGGGAATGTGTCCGCGCTTCTGAAATTACAGGATGGTTGGACTCCACTCACAATGCATTCGTTTCTAGGTACGGTAGTCATTTTTGAGCCTCGATACGTGCTTGGCACGAAAAATCCCGAAATGAACGAACTGGACAAGCCCTGAGCTGAGGATATATGAACACAAGGACTGAAAATCAGCCCTTGACACAGGGACCGGAACAATTACGGTACAAATCCTACTCATGCAGGAAAAAACCCTTGATATCTGGCGAGGAACCATCTATTGAATATCCTGTTCAGTTTCGGCACTCCAATGTAAGCCCTGAACCAGCTCATATAGACCATCACCGTGTGCCCCGTTCCCGGCGCCAGCATCACCCCCAAATTCTTCCTTCCGCGCATCGCTTCCGCCAAAGACCTATACGAGACAGCCGCCATCGAGAATACCGCGTTGACCTCCTGAGGTAAACAGAAAGCCGGGTTTGGCGGGTGGAGACCTCCCCACGCATGCTTGCGTGCCACAGCACTGGCGTTTGGCAGGAGAATCTGCTTCCTCAAACAGTTTGCGGCGTATAGGAAATTGGTTGGCAACTGATTTTCCAGGCGAGCTAAGCCACTGTCGAAGTGAAACTGGAAGAGGAAGAGGGGCGTGGTGACCTGAAGCAGACCCAGTTGTCCCTTGCTCCTGAACGGTTGGGGGAAGAAGAGAGGTGGGAGGTAGGATGACTTCTGTGTTGACTCAAGACCGATGATGAGTCGTTCTGAAGTCATCCTGAGTCAAACTCAAAAGTCAGCCTGATGATTTTAGTTTACACCAGAGGTGTACATGGTAGTGCTGTTTTCAATGAGAACCACCAGCTAGTCCCAGTTTCACCTGGGGAATCGCCTCGCGCAGAGCTTTCACCTGCTGGGCAGTTTCAGACGTTGATGCGGTGCAGAGCGGTGAGCGCCTGAATCTTTTCTCGTCAATAGTGCCGTTTAAAACGGTCCTTGGCATCTGGCAGGCGGTAGCAGGGGGTAGGGGGAATGCACGAGGGACTAGAGTGAAGTGCGCAGATCATTACAGAGTCTACGTCCTCCAATTCACGATTCAGACAATGAAGGACAAAGCGGTCCTTGGCATCTGGCAGGCGGTAGCAGGGGGGAGGCGCAATGCATGAGGGAAAACTGCGAGGACCTCAAACCACTATCGATGCCACGTCTTCTCAGTCACGATTCAGACAATATAGGGCAATCAGCAACTATTACAGCGCTGCGCTGTACTGACCAACAAAGAATCCCGAGTCAACGAGGCAGGTGGCGGAAAAAAACCCAGCAGGGACAAATGCTCACCAGCAGAGAACACAGCGCTCACTGACCAACAAAGAAGCCCGAGTCGGCGAGGCAGGTGGCTTGGGCGCGGGGGAAGGCGGCAGCGAGGCGGTCGCAGTGCATGATGATGGCATGGCCGCCCCCTGAGCTGCCCGAGAAGAGGACATGCGACGCCGCCCCCATGCCCCGTCGCCTGCGCAGATCTGGCATTGGGGGGGTGGGTGAAAGAGAGAGAAAGGAGAAGGATCATATATAAAAAGCTTCAAATTTCTCCCTCTTCCCTCCCTAACTCCCCATACGCAGATTTGTCCGCCCCAGAGTCCAATGTCTCCCCTATTCCCTCCTTGGCCATTCTCTCAGCCATTTACTTTCCCCCCTAGTACATTCTTTTCCCTCCCACCCAGCCTCCCTTCCACAGCGAACCACGAAATATTGCGGCCAGTATTGCCTGCCCCTGCATGTACACAAATGCGCCCTCCCCCGCGTGCTGCTGTAGGCGCCACCATCACAGTACACCACCCACACCAGGTTCCACCCGTGAAACACGGGGTTAAACAGCTTGCTCCGTGATAGCAGGCCCCCCAGTTGAGGGTAGGCGACCTTAGCCTGGTAGGGTACGGTTGGGTGGGATGGGGGGTGGTGGAGTGGGGTGTGGTTGGGTGGGGTGTAATGAAACGTCTTCTCCAGGCGTCTCAGACATTGCTTTTTGAGGCAGGGAACGGTGGGTTGCAGTGTGGAGGGAAGGGAAGGGGCAAAGAGCAGCAGCGAGGAAACACAAGGCATGAGATGAGAAAGAAGGCATGACATGAGAAAGAAGGCATGGCATGAGAAAGAAGGCGTGGAATGAGAAAGAAGGCATGACATGAGAAAGAAGGCATGACATGAGAAAGCAGGCATGACATGAGAAAGAAGGCATGACATGAGAAAGAAGGCATGACAAGAGAAAGAAGGCATGATATGAGAAAGAAGGCATGACATGAGAAAGAAGGCATGATATGAGAAAGAAGGCATGCCAGAGGGCAAATGAGATACGGCATGGGGGCAAGTGTGGAAGCGAGGAAACTCACATCCCTCACTGCTCCACCGTTTTCAACGACGGCGGAAATTTGTTTGGCCCAGAAGCGCGAGGAGCCAAGGGGGGAGTTGGCGCGATCGCGCCAGCCCCCCAGGGAAGGGGGGCGGGGGAGTGCGAAGCGGAGAGAGAGGGGGGCTATGCCTGCGTCGCTCTAGAGGATTCGGCTGTCACTCACGCTGTTGATCCCCCCGCCGTTTTCTACGACGGCGGGGAGTCGTCGGGCCCAGAAGCGCGAGGAGCCAAAGGGGGAACTGGCGCGCTCGCGGCACTCCGCCGGGGTGAAGCACCATCCGCCCCGGGGGAAATGCACGTGCCACTTGCGCCTCCCCGCGCCAGCGCCCGCGCGGAAGTAGTACGCGGGGGGGCTTTAGGGGGGGGGAGGGGGGGCGGGGTAAAGGATATGGGCAAGGGGGGAAGGTGGAGGAGGCAAACTGAATTGACCTTTCATGCATGATGTAGGATTGACCTTGAGAGGTGTGCTTCGGGAATCGTGGGGGGAAGGACTTTCATGCATCATGGGTTGAATGAAGGGAGCGAATGACCTTCATTGACATTCAAGTTGACTCTATGTGCGAATGGGTTGATGCCACGAGAAGGCGTTTCCGCGAGTCGCGGCGATGCTGTCGCGATAGTGAAGCATTGTGAAGCACCCGCGCCCGCACCTGCCGTCGAGGCATTTCGCGCCGTACGCGTTATTGCGCAGGAGCACGAGGCGCGTCGCGGTAGCGAATTTAAGTCGGTTCACTCGTCCCGCCGCGCACAGGGAGCGGGGCAGCGCCGCGAGGAGCAGCGCCAGCAGGGGGAGGAGGAGCGCGGGCAAGGGGGGGAATCGGGAGCATGTGCGGCGGGAGGAGGCAAGCTGCGCAACTCGCAGCGCGATGACTGACATTGGCATATTGGGTCCCGCGACGGGGACCCTTTCCGAGAAGCAAGTCCTAACTCCGAGACGCATTACCAAGTCCAAACCGCTCGTCAAGCCCTAGAACACAGATAGCCAGAGCGGTAGCATGAACTCCGAACCGCGCCGTGTCAAGCGACGACAGAGTTGCAGGGCATGGGTAACCAGTTAGCAACTCGAGCACCGAGTGCTGGCTCTCGACTCGACTGGAGTTGTTTGCCATGCCATGCCAATACAACTCAACACGAGGGGGCTCCCATTTCCCGTTTCGCGACGCGACGGAAAGAGTCCCTCCCTGCTCCCCGCCGCCTTTTTTGCTGACTGCCAAAGTCTCGGCGGCTCCGCCACGAATTATGGTGGTGAAGCATCGAGTCAAACAAGTAATGACTTTCAGTGCGGTGCGGTCTGGTGTACCGTCGAAATCGGAATGGAAGCGGTCAGATAACTGTTATAATGTTCACCCTAGCATTCTTTTTATGAACTTTGTAAGGAAATCCCCTTTTCCTTACTTGGCATCCCTGCTCAACGCGTACATCACTGTAGCACCTCAGTCAGCACCGTTACCACTCACGACCATCGCATCATTCATCATCCCGCCAATTTCGCACATTGCATCCCGACCTCACGGCTCGGCTGGTAACCCGCGCTCCGGGCCTACGCTTCGACATTTTCCCAACCTCAGTCCCAGTCTCGTCGCGCGATCATTACCGTTACCACTGTAGTTTCGCTATATATTCTTCGCTCATGCCTTCGCTCATTGTACTCTTGCTTCGATAGTGCAATTCTCGTTCGTTCACTCAAATTGCACTCGTAACACTTGGAATTCAGAGCCTACGATCCCATCTCGGACCGCATCCACACCTTCGCTTCCCCACTATCTCAATTTTTGGGGGGGGTAGACGTCTCTCAGCGATACAGCACCGCCGCTCGTAGTGCTCTCTCGCAAGCACGCACGGCCACGACCGAGGCTCTCGCTGAGCTTGCCCGACACCCCCGCCATGGCCGACTTCACGCTCGCCACATTGACGCAGGAGCAACTTGATCGTCTCGTGCGTCAATTGGAGGATTCGGCGCTTGAAATCGCGACCCTCACGGCGGAACGTGACTCCGCCCGTCAACAATCCACGATGAACATACCGACGACATCCCACGCACCAACAAACGCATCTGCACGTTCGGATGAGCCGATCATCATCTCGTCCGGCACACCAACACAACACGACAGCACGGGACAACGCTCAGGCGCAGCCAGTGAGGGCGCCGCCCAGCCGATGCCTGGCATGGGAGGAAACAGGATTGCACCAAGCCCACGGGAGCCTCGAGAAGTCCTTCGGCACGTGGAATTTGCGGCGACAAGTGGCGAACAATCCAACATGGCACCAATGCCGCTCAAGCCGCAACGCCCGCCCTGCTTCGACCCAAGTCAACGCGGCGGTCCGACAGTTCAATCGTGGGTCTTCACGATGAACGTTTTCTTCGACGCCAATTACGTCGAGTCGGACGCCGCAAAGATCCGGTATGCGGTTTCACTGCTAAGGGGCCCCGCCATGGACTGGTGGCGAGTCATCGTGACGTCGCCACGCGCCTACGAGCCACCGTCGCACAAGGAAGGGCCCTCGGGTCCAGCTGTCACCTGGAGTTCGTTCTGCGAGACCGCCCAATACAGCACGTGGGATGCGTGGTGCGCAGGGCTTCGGGCGCGCTTTGAGCCGATCGCGGCTTCAATTTCGGCGCGTCAGAAACTGCGCACTTGGCGCCAGCTCGGGTCAGTTCAAGACTATACCAGCGGTTTTCTCACACTTTGCGAGCAGGTCGGCTACATGCACGAAGCGGAGCGGGTGGACCGTTACGTCGGAGGGCTGAAGCCGGACATCTCGCACGAGATAATGCTGCGCGGACTCTCTAACTTCAACGAGATTCTCGCGCTCGCCGAGAAGATCGACATTCTACGCCGACCAAGACCGGGGTCCTTTACGGACATCGTCCTCGGGGACCGACCGAGCACGCCACTGTACACGCCGTCGCAACGAATGCAGCTGCCGCACCGTTTAAAGGGCGCTGCTTTGCTTGCAACAGGCCGGGCCATCGCAAGAGCGAATGCCCAGAGGAGCTGAGGCGCCGAGGAGCAGAGCAGGGGAGGGAGTCTCAGAGGCAGGGAAACGCCAGCAGTCAGTAGAAGTTGGGCCAACTACTGACGAGACTTCCTGCTCGCCCAACCACACCGACCCTCACCGAGTCACAGTACCGATTCATGCCATCGATCGGGCTCGGATGAATAAGGAGGGTACAGCGACGGATTGCCCGGTACTAATCTACGGGAAAATACAGGGAGCAGCAGTGAAGATTTTTATTGACGGAGGAGCAAGTCACAGCTTAGTTAGTACCGCAACCGCACGGAAATTACAGATAACACTTAACCGATGCTTACCTGAGATAGATGCACGCTTAGTCGATGGCACGCCTCTGGCTATACGGGAAAAGGTGGAGAGAGTAAAAGTCCGCTGCGGAGGGAACTTCGGGTTTACACAGGAAATGCTCGCAACGACACTGGATGGGCACGACATTTTATTGGGACGTGATTGGCTGCGACGGTATAACCCACGAATTGACTGGACGACGGGTAGCTGCACAGTGCGAAGTAGTGGTAACTGGGTCGTCCTACCTCGCTGGCAGCCACCCGAGTCTTCGACGGTCCAGGTCAACGCCATCACGATGAAACGGGCTGTCGCTGCTGGAGCTGACGTGTACGCAGTGGATATCGCATTAGTGGAAAAAGAGCACCGGCCGAGTGATTTGCAGAAACTGTTGGCAGCCGTACCACCCGAACTACAGGCACTACTGAAACGGTTCCCGGGTATCTTTCCGGATGACTTACCGCAAGGGCTGCCACCTCAGCGGGCGCATGACCATAGGATCGAGTTAGAACCGGGGGCACAACCAACTGTACAGCGCCAATTTCGACTGACACAGCCTGAGCTCGACGAGCTAAGGAAGCAGTTAGATTACCTGTTAGAGAAGCAGTTTATCCGACCGAGCTCATCACCGTTCGCCGCACCGATACTGTTCACACCGAAAAAAGACGGGGGATTTCGCATGTGCATCGACTACCGAGCGCTTAACAAGGTAACAGTAAAATCACGATACCCCATCCCCCGCGCCGACGAACTGATCGACCAGCTGCGAACCGCACGAGTATTTTCGAAAATAGACTTACGGGGAGGTTACCATCAAATTCGGGTCGAACCATCGGACTGCGCCAAGACAGCATTTAGGACTAGGTACGGGTCATTCGAGTACACGGTGATGCCTTTCGGGCTGACCAACGCGCCTGCAACATTTCAGATGACCATGAACGAGGCATTTAGGCCACTTTTAGATAAGTGCGTCATAGTTTACCTCGACGACATCCTCGTTTACAGTCGGGACCAGCAGCAACACTTAGTAGATCTCGAAGCAGTTTTTAAAATTTTAGAGGCACATCGGTTACTCACCAAGGGCTCCAAGTGCGAGTTTTTTCGGGACAGGCTAGAGTTTTTAGGTCACGTCATTTCGGAGGCTGGGGTTGAGATAGACCCTAAGAAGCTGGATACCGTAAAAGTGTGGCATCCCCCGACGAACATCACGGAACTACAGAGTTTTTTAGGGTTTGTTAATTACGTTCGTCGGTTCGTCCCCGCCATGGCCCGCTTAACAACCCCGCTCACTGATTTACTGCGTAAGGGGGTCCCTTTTACGTGGGGGGAGAAAGAGCATGCTGCCTTCTCTGCCCTAAAAAATGTTCTCTGTTCACCACCCGTCCTACGCATCGCTGACCCACACCGCCCCTTCGAAGTTGTTACAGACGCGAGTGACATCGCCATCGGAGCCGTACTGTTGCAGGACTTCGGCAACGGCCTCCAACCCATCGCCTACGAATCACGCAAGCTACATCCACCTGAGCGAAATTACCCGATACACGACCGCGAAATGCTCGCGATCGTGCATGCATTCAAAGTGTGGCGTTGCTACTTGACCGGCGCAGACGTGACAGTACGGACAGACCATCGATCCCTACAGTACCTTCGCGCACAGCCCCACCTCAACCCACGACAGATTCGGTGGCTCGACTTCCTCGAATCGAATTTCCACTATACGGTCACATATAAAAAAGGAGCCTCGAATATCGCGGACGCACTGACCCGCCCCACTGCCCAAATACATGCGATACTACCGTCATCGCCCGGATAGAAGACAGTGTCGAATTGAAGACAGGGGGTGTCTTTAATACGGGTGTTTCTTATAGTTGGGTGCTTCCGATTATAAGCCACCTACAAGCGTGTACGACTTAAGACAGTGCCTACTAAACAGTGCTAGGGTTTAGGGTTTCCTTATAAAGGGGGTGGGTGTCTTATAATCGGTTCTTGCATTCAGGGGTGGGGGGGGTACATGCATGCATTTATCCAATCTTACTATTTCTACCTAGCCCCCCTCTGTTACGCCCTCCTCATCTGCACTAGTAGATGGTGGCTCCTGCATCCCCAAGTCTGGCACTCGCCAGGCGTGCCTGGCTGTCTGCACGGGCTCGATCATGCGGTCAGCCTCGGCCGCCGCTCCCCGGTAGTGAGGGGTCTCCTGGTACAGCACCTCCAGGCCGGTGGCCACGGCCACCTCTTTCACGCCCTCCGCCTGCATCTCCTCCTCCTCCTCCTCCTCGGGAGCCTTCCCAAGCAGGCGCGTGTTGTCGCCCGTGGTGCCCCCGAGGCACATGTCTTCGGTGACATCGGTGGTGCTCCTGGCGCGCAGGTGGGACATCACCAGATGGTTCTCGGTCCCATCCAGCTTGCTTGAGATGCCGCAGTGACGGAACGCGTCAATGATCACCTGCCTAGGGACTTGATCCCACGCCTCCGCTATCCACTGCAGCACCACGGGATGCGGGGGTCTCCTCAGGTTCCCTGCGGGTGGGTCACATTCAGAGCAAGCGTGCCGTCAGATACCGTACATCAAGAGCTACACTGGCAGGCATTTACTGATCACCGACAGTGGACTCACCGTTCTTCGTCTTCAGGTAAAGGCCTTCACGCATGAACCACCTAGCGTAGCGAGCTCGCACCCCGGCCTTGAAACACCGGTTGATGGAAACGTCAAGTGGTTGAATTTGACTGGTGCAACCTGCAGGGATTACAGCCGGAGTGATGCTGTGCGACCTTAGCAGGAACCTCAACCACCTTAGCCTTCCCCTTGTCAGCAGCAGGGACGCGGGGTCGCCGCTCCTCATCCGGGCTGTCGTCGTCCGAGAGCAGCACCCGGGTTTTTTTCCGGGACACGCCTAGGCTGTGACGCAGCCGCCTCTTCAACAGAGGCACGTCATCATCTGACGAGACGCGCCATGGGTCGTCCGCGTCGTCCTCGCCTTCGAAGAAGACAGCATCACGGCCATCACCCGCCTCCGCCACCACAACAACAGCCGTATTTGCGCCTGTTTCAGCCTCCGCATCTGCATCCACCTCCGCATCCGCATCTGCATCCGCCTCCGCATCCGCATCTGCATCTGCCTCCGCATCCGCATCTGCATCCGCCTCCGCATCTGCACCCGCCGCCTGAGCTTCTACCGTCGCATCCGCCGCCGCATCAGCAACTGCATCCGCGCCTCTGTCATCGTCATCGTCGCCGGCGTGCCACTCCTCCACATTGTCGCCGGAGCCTATCGGCTGCATCCACCAGTCGTCATCGTCGATGCCTCCGGCAGGCACCTCGTCACCAGATGCGCTGTCGTCGTGGCCGTTTTCCGGCCAGTCCTCTTCGTCTTCGTCGCCATGATCTTCGTCGCCGGCGTCTTCGTTGCCCTCTTCCTCGTCACAACTTGCGCCAGAGCCGGTGTTGGAGCACCCCGCCGGTTGGTGCTTCTCTTTCGCCATGTCTACCCGGATGTCGTCACCGGGCGAGTTGATGCGCCCATAGTTGGTAACATGGATGTTAGGGAGAGGAGACGGCGCGCTTGCAGGATGCTTACTACGCATGATAGAGCCTGCTTAGAGCTAAGATTGAGCCACTTTCGAGTTTCATGAGCAAAAAATGAAGCTCAACCTCGACTACCCCCCATTCCAGAGTGCCCCCCCCCCTTGGAAGACGAGCCGCTCCTCTACGGCAAATTTGCTCGTAGAGGACAACTCAGGATGGCAGGATGCTGCCATCGTGCTGCTGGCAGCGTTCTAGAAGGCACTGTTCCCTGCTGGCAGCAAAACGACACTAGAAGCATCATGAGATGCTGCCAGCAGGGCAGGATTCTGCCAGCACAAGCAGCATTGATGCTTCTCATCACGTGGCACGAGGTGGCGGCGCATGAATCGCATCAAAATGTGGCTGTTTTCAATTAATCCGCCCCGTGGGTGGTTTCTACAGTTTTTCCGAATGTTACATGGTTCTTATATATTTTGCCTATTTATAAGAATTATAAGACACCCCAAACCGTCCCAAATATAAGACACAACAAGCATTTTTTCTAATGTATAAGATAAGACATATATGTCTTCTATCCGGGCGATGACGGTACTCGCCCAGACCAGCCCGTTACTGACAGGACTTTTTACCCACGGATATCAAACAGACCCATTCTTCACACGAGGAAATTCACAGCAATTCGCAGCAGCCAAGGGAGCCTATTACGTAAAAGCTGGATCCGACCGCATCTGGGTACCAGGGTACACGCTACTACGGGAACTACTGTTACAGGAGGCACACGACGGAGTTACCTCGGGACATTTCGGAGTAGAAAAAACACGGCAGCAGCTGCAGCGGTACAATTACTAGCCGGAAATGTTGACCTACGTGCAACGACACGTGGCATCGTGTCCCACTTGCCAACTCATGAAGTCAACCAGGAAGCGGCCAGCAGGACAATTACAACCAATCCCACCTCCAGAGCGTGCTTGGCAGCAGGTGACGATGGACTTCGTCACGGGGTTACCGGCCGGGGCGAGTGGGAATGACGCGATCCTGGTCGTCGTCGATCGACTAACGAAAATGGCACATTTCGCAGCATGCAGGAAATCAATCACAGCCGAGGAAACAGCCCGACTCTTCATCGCCACCGTCGTTCGACTGCACGGGATACCAGCGTCAATCATCAGCGACAGGGACACGAAGTTTACCAGTAATTTCTGGCGGAACCTGTGGCAGCAGTTCGGCACGCGACTTCAATTCAGTTCATCCTATCACCCCAAAACCGACGGACAGGCAGAACGGACAAACCAGACCATGGAGCAGCTGATTCGAGCCACGTGCGACGATCCAAACACGTGGGAGCAGCAGCTGCCACTCATCGAGTTCGCATACAACAACGCGCCATCTGCCACGACCCAACAGTCACCATTCTACTTAAACTACGGACAGGACCCAGCAGTACCCATGACCCCAAACCCCGACAATCCCGTTCCACGCGCACAACAGTTCGCCGAGATTTTGCAAGCAGCACGGACCAGGGCAGCAGAAGCAATTAAAAAATCAAATATCATCGCTAAACGCAACGCCGATCGCCACTGCAGACCCGTCACTTATCAGTCCGACGACCTCGTTTTACTCGACACTCAAAACCTCCGCCTGCCCATCACTCCAAAACTCCGCCCTCGATACTGTGGGCCGTTTCGAATTAGCCACATGATCACACCCGTCACCGCGCACCTCCTCCTCCCTGCTGACTGGTACGCCAGCCCCTCATTCCACGTCAGCCTGCTTCGCCCTTACGTACCATCCACCAGCCAACTCCCACGACATCGACCATCGAGCATGGCACGGCCGCCAACCGAACCCATCATCACCCCCGACAAAATCTTGACCACAGAGTTCGCGACCCTCGAGGAGCTCGAAAAGTCGAGTTCTTGCTCCGATGGAAAGACCTGTCAGAATGAGGAATGGATGTTCCATTGATGTTGGTTGGGGTACATATAACAAACCCTAACTTCTGTACCCCCTAAGACAAACCTCACTACAGGCTACAACATTTGACACACCCCCATAGCCTAAGTGAGGGGTGTCTAGCAAAAACAAAAAAAAGAGTACGGTCACAAGACCAGTCCAAAAGAAAACAAAGCTCAGGGTGGATCACAACGTCACCACACACTCTGAGCACAAGCAACAGTGGCCACAATGCCAGTCCAAGAGATCACAAGTATATATAGTAAGTGTACAGACAAAGCAGGCAATAAACTCAAGTCTACGCATGACTAGAACCTGTGTCAACAAGGCCTAACTGCACACAACACCTCTGGTGGTCACAAGGCGGAAGCGCCTTGGTGAAGATGTCTGCAGTGTTGGCCTCGCACTCCACAAACTCGAAGCGAGCCTGTCCACGCCTCTGCAACTCTCGCAGAAGAAAGTACCTGACGTGAATGTGCTTCACTCTGCTCTCCAGTCGCGGCTCACGACAGAGGAGGATCGACGCCTTGTTGTCAGTAAACAAGGTCGGTGCAGAGCTCGGCCGCTCACCAAGGTCGGCGAGCAAGAAGGTCAACCACCGCAACTCCTGTGCCGCCATGGCACCAGCGTAAATCTCAGCCTCAGCTGTAGAGGTCGAGACAGAAGAGGAGCGCGTGGAACGCCAGGAAACAGCTCCAGAACCCAGACTGAAACAGTACCCCTGAGTAGACCCGTGAGTCTCAGCGTCGTCAGCGTAAGAGGAGTCACAGTGACCAGTGAGTACGACAGACTGCTGCCCTCCAAGAACTAGCCCCACGCCTGATGTAGTCGCTAGGTACTTCGCCACCCTCACAGCTGCCGTCCAGTGAACAGGACGGTGTCTCCCTGGCGCAACAAAGCGCGCAAGGATGCTGAGAGGGAAGGCGAGGTCCGGGCGAGTACAAGTCATCAGGTACATGAGGCAACCCACAAGCTCTGCGTAGGGACCACTAGGCTCAAACGGCTCGTCAGGAAAGGGACCAGTGAGTCTGTGGTCAACAGCTAGAGGTGTGCGCTGTACGGTGGAGTGCTGAAGCCCGAACCGCTGAAGGACCTGCTGCACCATGTGTGACTGTGAGAGTGTAATGGTGCGAGCGGCTCTGTCCCTGGTGATCTGCAGGCCAAGGTAGTGGCGCAGCTCACCAAGATCAGTGCACGTGTGTCTCTTCTGCAGTTCGGACTTCACGTCTGCCAAAGCAACCCTGTCCGAAGTGGCGAAAACGATGTCGTCGACGTAGACCAGAACAAAGAACGGTGTGGAGCCACTACGAACGAACAGCGACGGGTCGGCAGAAGACGGCTGGAACCCAAGGTCAGAGAGGGTAGAACGCAGAGTGTCGTGCCACTCACGAGGGGCCTGGCGAAGACCGTAAACAGGTCGCCTCAGCCTCCACTGGGTCCCAGGAGGGAAAGTGCCAGTGAAGGCCGAGGGACGACGCAACCATACCTCCTCGTGTAGACTGCCCTGAAGGAAAGCAGTGGAGAAGTCAAGAGAGTGTAACTCGTAGTCTCTCTGTGCTGCTACGTGTAGTAACACTCGAAGAGTGGTCATCTTCGGGGTAGGTGCGAAGGTCTGAAAGAAGTCAACTCCCTCGCGCTGACTGAAACCTCTAGCCACGTAGCGCGCCTTGAAGACCGGGGGAGATCCCGGTGGCCGCTTCACCTTGTAGATCCACATGCCGTCGACTACGTTCGCCCCAGGGGGGGGAACCTCATCGACGTAGGTGCCTGTGGATCTGTAGGAGGCCATCTCTGCGTCCATGGCAGCTCTCCACTGAGAGGCCCAAGGCCCTGACACTGCCTCAGCGTAAGTGCGAGGAGTCGGAATGTCAAGGGCGTCGGGGTCACCCTCAGGGGCGAGGAGCATGGCACAGAGATGAGGGGAAGCGGCCGCCAGGAACTCTAGCTCAAACTGCCTGTCCTCTAGGGCGTCACAGCCAAGGGCAGACACACCCCCGACGGCGAGAGGATTGGTAGGAGGAGCAGCCACAAGCGTGGTGGCGTAGTCAAGGCGGCGGGTAGAGGCAAAGTCAGTAACTGCGGCAGTAAGAGCGGACACAGAGGACACAGAGGCACGAGGGTGAGTAACAAGAGAGGCGAGAACACGAGAGAGAACAGGACGGTACGTGCGGTAGTAGTCAGTGACAGGAGTAGGGAGCGACACAGTGAGGGCCGACTCAGGAGGAGACGGAAGCACAGACTGAGACGGACGAGGTGGACTAGAAAGAAGGAAGGCAGTACGAAGGTCAGTGAAGGGAACAGGAGACGAGGGACGAGCACGAGGGGAGCGACGAGTAGCCCAAGAACGAGACGGAGGAGGAGAGGACAAAGGCGGAGAACTGGGGAAAACAGCGGGGGAGGAGTCAGGAGGAGGAAACGTGGGACCGTAGACAGGAGGAGAGGCGGAGGAGGGAGGAGAAGGGGAGGGGAGACCAAGGGTCCGAAGACCCGAGACAGGAGGAGGAAGTGGCTGCTGCTGCTGCTGCTGCGACTGCTGCTGCTGCGGAAGCGGCTGCTGCTGGGACTGCTGCTCCTGCGGGTCCAGCTGCTGCTGCTGCTGCTGCTGCTCCTGCGGCTCCAGCTGCTGCTGCTGCTCCTCCAGCCGTTGTAACTCCCTCTCCTCTCTCTCCAACGCCAGCTGCTCGTCACGGGCATGGCGAACACGAGCCTGGTGCCTAGTCGGGTAGGGGTGGGGGGGTGGAGTAGTGTCCAAAGCAGCGGCAGCTCCAGAGTCCACCCCAGAAGAACTAGGCGCACCACCCCCAGAGGCAGCACTAATACCAGCTCCAGACCCAGGCTCACCTAAACCCGAAGGAGGCGCACCCTCACCCCCAGACTCAGCACCCCCAGTGTCCGCGCGGCCAGCACCAGCTCCCGGACGACAAGAGTCCTCTGCACCCACCGGGTCAGCTCCAACTCCAGAACCAGAAACTCCAGCTCCAACCCCAGCTCCAACTCCAGCACCCCCAGAACCAGAAACTCCAGTGCCAACTCCAGCTCCAACTCCAGCTCCAACTCCAGCACCCCCAGAACCAGAAACCGGTACAAGAACAGGCGCCGCACCAAC